GCAGCTCGGTGTCTGGTGGCGGCTCCAAAGTGGTCACTTGCCAGTACCGGCTTCAGCCCGGCCCTTGCCGCGGAACCGTCTGTGACCGCCCCGGTCACACCGCCGCAAGCAGCTACCGCCGCCTCCAGTGGTCCGACTGGTACAGCCTGGTGTGTCGTCTTGTGTATGTCTTTGAGATGGACATGGATCAGATTCGGTCTGCTTTGTATGCCATGTATGCTGATGACTCTAGTGTGACTGGACCCTATTACTCGGTGTTTCCTAGCATAGGTGTATCCGCTGTGTGTAGTTTAGGTTCCCCTACTGCGTAAGGCATAGGACCCCCTGCCTTGTTTAGCCTAGGCTCCACGCTAGCCCCTCCGCCGGCGGACGCTACTGCTTCGCTCTCCTTCACGCTTGACTGTGGAGCGTCAGCCTACTTCTTTCGCTACCACACTTCGCTCATGCCTCTTGCCGGCCCTGCCGCTGTCGCGCTTGCTAAACCCTCCTCAAGTCCGGTAGTTGCCCGTAGCTCCACCACCCTTCCCTGTCCGGCGGTCCCTTCGGGTTCTCTTACAGGCCTGCACATCCCCTCGTTCTTAAGGAACCTGCAGTAGTTAGTGTCAGGTGTTTTCAGGACCTCGTTGTCACCACTACGTTCCCTGGTCATGAGCGGTACTCGGTCTGTACCGAGGCCGCCACTGGTGCTCCTCTGACCACGTTTCCCAGGGACCCTGTGTCTGGCCTGTTTACGCTTGACAATGTGTCCCCCCCTGTGAGAGCATCCCCCCACGTACCTGCTTCGACCCAGGTCGCTGCGGCTTGCTCATGTCGGTCGCTCACTCACCCGTCGATGCTGTGGCACCACCGCCTAGGTCACCCTGCACTCCCGCGTCTGCGTCACATGTCCCATCACGGTCTTATCTTTGATCTCCCTACGTCGCTCCCTGCCCTCCCTCCCTCGCTTGCGTTGCCGTGCACGCCTTCTGTCGAGGGCCGGTTGCGCCGTGCTCCTCAATCCTCCTCACTTCCTCCTACCACTGCGCCACTCCAGACCCTGCATCTGGACGTCTGGGGCCCAGCCCCTGTCCCTGGGCCGCGTCGCGAGCACTACTTTCTAGTGCTTGTCGGCGACTATACGTGCTACATCACAGTGTTTCCCCTGGAGCGGAAGGCCGATGTGCCTGACGTTCTTATCCCATGGGTCGTAGCTGCGCGAGTCCACCGCGGCCTCCCTGTGCTGCTTCTCCACTCCGACCGTGGTGGCGAGTTCGCCTCCAGTCGGCTTGGCCGGTTCTGTCGTGCGGAGGGCATCACCCAGTCGTACACCTTGCCGGACTCCCCACAGCAGAATGGGGTCGCTAAGCAACGCATCGGTTTGGTCATGGAGGTGGCTCATACCTCCATGATCCATGCCGGTGCACCCAATTTTTTGTGGCCGTTCGCTGTTCGCTATACCGCTCACCTGCTTAACCTCTAGCCGCACACTCAGCGGCCGCAGGTTTCGCCAACCCTTTTCTGGACCAGGTTCTCGGGTAATGCGTCTGCATTCCACGTCTGGGGCTACCTTGCTCATGTTCGTGCCTCTGGCACAGACAAGCTCACTGCCCACACAGTTACCTGTGTCTTCCTTGGCTTCCCCCTCGACGCGTCTGACTGGTCCTTTTACCACCCGCCGTCTCACCGCTTCTTTCATTCGCGTGACGTCACTTTTGATGAGTCTCTCTTCTTCTACCACCGCTTTCCCCACCGCGGTCTCCCGGTTTCCCCGCCCCTGTTTCTGGTTCCCACTCCCCCGGTAGCCCCTGCTCCTCTCCCTCCCGGTCCCGCCCCATCTGGTATGTCTCACGTCACTCCCCTCCCGTCGGTTGTCCCGGTCGAGGAGTCGGCTGACTCTGGTGGCCCCGCGGCATTATTCTCGCCGCCTGTCTCCGCCCCGGTGTCTCCTCCTCCGCCGTCGCCGCAGCAGCAGCTATCGCAGCCGTCACAGCCGCAGCAGCAGCCGCCGCAAGGGTCCGCCAGCTCTAGGGGTGCGGGTGTTGAGCAGGGTGCTAGTCCTAGGGTTACTGTCGTGGCCTGTCCCGGCGGTCCTGGGGGTGGCACCAGTGCTCGGGAGGGTTCTTGTTCTGGGGGTGCTGGTCCCGGGGGTGGTAGTCTTGGGGTTGGCATCGGTGCTGGAGGGGGTTCTCGTCCTGAGAGTGTTGGTATGGAGAGTCCTGGAGGTAGCCGTTGTACAGCTGGAGGTTCTGGTGTTGTCTTAGAGCAGTAGCTGCAGCAGCAGTCGCCGCCGGTGTCCACCCTTCGCCTCCTCGGGCTTCCCTCTCATTACCACCCACCGGCGCCTCCCCTGCAGCCGCCTCCCCCGCTTGTCTACGGCCCTGTTTTTTCGCTGCCAGACTCGTCTCCGGCTCATTTCCCCCCTCGTTCTCCTCCTGCGCCTCCTCCTGTGTCTCGTGACCCCACGCCTCCGTCCCACTTCTGGTCTCTCTGTCCCTCTCGTGCCCGTCCTGTCTTTCCTGTTTAGCGATCTCATCCTATGTTGCTCCGTTCCCACGCGTCTAGTCCTTCCCTCCTCCCCTCGCCTCCTCTGTCCTCGCTTGTTGTCGCTCCGCCTCCTCTGTCTAACTTCCTTCGTGCCACTAGTCCTCTTGTTCCTCGGGTCCTTGCCTCCTTCATTACTGACCCGTCAGTTCCTGTCTCCAGTCTTGACGCTCTTGTCGCTACTGTCGCTGACTTCGCCTCTACCCGCCGCCTTGACTACGCCTCCCTTCTGGTCTCTGACCCTGTCTGTCCTCTGTCCGTTCGGGGTGCGTCTGCCCTTGGTAGTGACGTCCTAGAGGACAGGCAGTTTGAGCTTGCTTTCCTGTCCGAGGCTGCTCCCCATCTTTGCTCCATGCTGCTATTCCCTGAGGGTGACCCTCACACCTTGGACATCCCGACCCCTCGCACATACGCTGAGGCGACCTCGGGACCTTGGGCCTCTCAGTGGATAGCTGCCATGGAGTAGGAGATGGCATCTTGGAGATCCACTTGCACCCCACGTGGTGTGAATGTAGTCGATGGCCAATGGCTCTTCAAGGTGAAGCGCCCGCCAGGAGGGCCGTCTGTATTCAACGCGTGCTACGTGGTTGGAGGATTCAGTCAGCGTGAGGGGGTGGACTTTTTTCAGACCTTCGCCCCGATCCCGAAAATGACTATTCCTCGTGCGCTGCTACAAATATAAGTACAGCGTGACTTCGAGCTACACTCTCTCGACTTCTCCACTGCGTTTCTTGAGGGCAGCATACACGAGCAGCTCTACCTACGCCGTCCTCGGGGCTTTATTGGTACCTTCTCTCCTGAGACCCAGTGGCTCCTTCGACGCCCAGTCTATGGCCTACGACAGGCGCCCCATGAGTGGCACGACACGCTGCGTGCTACACTAGCTGACTTCCAGTTCTTTTCGTCCTCTTCTGACCCCTCACTCTTCGTTCGTGCTGGCTAGACTCTGTTCTATATCCTTGTCCACGTAGACGACCTGGTCTTTGCTACTGCAGGCAGAGACGTACTGGCCTCCGTGAAAGCCGGGCTACTGAGGAGACACACCTGCATTGACATAGGAGAGCTGCGCCGCTACCTTGGCCTGCAGATCTCTAGGGACAGAGCGGCGCGCACCATCACTCTCACAGAGTCATACTTGGTGCGCCAGGTCCTTCAGAGGTTCGGTTTTCAGTTCTTCTTCGCACAGCCCAGACCTCTGCTAGTAGATCACAGGCTCTCATCTCCAGTTCCTGAGGAGTCAGTACAGCCCAGTGGTCCTTACGCAGAGCTGGTGGGTTGCCTCATGTACCTGATGACTTGCACTCATCCAGATCTCGCATACCCTCTCAGCCACCTTGACTCGCTTTGTGGCCACAGGCAGACACCGACCACAGCACTGGTCGGCCGCTAATAGGGTTTTGCGTTATCTAACAAGTACATCGGGCAAGGGGTTAGTGCTAGGAGGACACAGACCAGTGGTCCTTACTGGGCACACAGACGCTTCTTCGGCAGACGACGCTAAGACCCTCAAGTCCTACCAGGGCTACTACTTTAGCCTTGGTTCGGGTGCCATCTCGTGGAGGTCCACTCGCTCCTCGTCTGTTGCCCAGTCTAGCTGTGAGGTTGAGATCTACGCCGGTGCCATGGCGGCACAGGAGCTTCGCTGGCTAACGTTCTTGCTCACCGACTTACTGTAGGTGAGCGGCCTAGTTTTGCCCCGGTCTTGTACGCTGACAACAGGGCCATGATCCTCCTGTGTCAGGATCCTCGACTTGAGGGCAGAGCGAAGCATATCCAGTTGCGGTACTTTTTCCTGCGTGAGCTACAGCAGCGTCGCCACGCCCGTGTAGTACACTTGGCCTCCGGTGCCAACATAGCTGATATATTCACTAAGGCGCTTGCGCCTAAAGATCATCAGCGGCACTGTTTGCAGCTTGGTCTAGTTCTTGTAGACTCTCACTTTGATTGTGTACTCCTCTTTATATATATATTTCAGACTGGCCTTGTGGCTTCTCTTCCAGTGGTCGGACTAGTAGTGCCGCCCTGGTTTGCTCTTGTCTTGTTTGTACTTTTGCTGACTGGTCTTCGGACCTCTGTCTCAGAGGTTGGACTAGTAGTGCCACCCTGAGCTATGTGCTTCTTGCTCAGCACTACCCCTTATCGAGCCTAGGGGGTGTGTCAACTTATATATACATTTGCATGTAGAAGTTATAGGCTAGAATAGATGTGTGTTCTTAGAGAGTACAAACCAAACCCTATATCTCCCTTGTTCCCTCTTGATTCTAATCATTGCACTATTCTAACATTCTGCGCTATACTCATTCATAACACATTCGGTTCTTGTAATTTAGCTAATATACAGTTCTGATAACCTGTTGCCAGCTGGGCTCGAACTCGCGTCACCTCAGCTGGCAACAGCGAGCCTTGACGTGCCACGACGTGGCAGCCAGTCAACACATAGGGGCGCGCTCCAGTCGGTTTCACTTTTACCAATTGAGGAATCAGCTGAAGTGTTGCGCTGAGCAAAGCTGGTGCGGTTCTGGTACGGGGTGGGTCTGCAGATTCGTAACCCGTAGGTCCTACTAGTACTAGCATAGTGGTCTGACGCCAATCCCGTGTCTGTTCGTGAGAGTTCTCTGTACCTTGCGCAGCTATGGCTTCCGCTGCTGCCAGCAATGCCGCGCACTCCGTAAAGGCAAGCCTTAGGACCGCATCTTTCTTGTCTACTCGCACCGTATCCCATACCGTTCTGGCACTAAATCTCGTTGAAATCCTTTTCCCTGACATGTTCGTTGCGCCTGGACGAACCGGGTGCTTGTTCATACGCGCGCATGCACCGCCGCACTCATCGCGCGCATGCATATGATCACGTGGCGTGCAGGCCGCCGTGGTGGGGTTCATCGGGCTGGGCAACATGGGCGCGTGCATGGCCGCCAACGTGCTCCGCCACAACTACCCGCTAGCCGTCTTCGACAGGTCACCCGCCTCTCCCCGCCTCTCTCTCGCCGCCTCTCCCAGCCTCTCCGCGCCTCCCCGCGTCTCTCGCCGCCTTTCCCCGCGTCTCCTCGCCCGCGCCTTGCGCGGTTCCCATTCACTGCTCGCCCGCTCTTCACTTATCTTCCCGCTCCTCGCCAATTGCTCTGTCCACCATTCACCATCCACCCCTCCTGCGGTCCTCATACCCTGCGTCGCCCTCTCTCCTCTCAATCTCAAGTTTGCCAACCTCACACACATCCCGCCGAGCTCATCTCTTCACAACCACTGCACCGCTCAGCACCGCTCCTCGTCTCCCCTCATCCCACTCACTGCGTGCAAAATTCAGCGTGTGCCTCGCAGCTGTTCCGCCTCTCGTCTCCCCCTCCTGTGTCCGCATTCTGGCGTATGCATGTGCCGGTACACTCGCTGTTCGATATGATTCACTGCCATAGTGTCTCGTATGCGCGTGCAGGAACGAGGCCGCCATGGACTCTCTGGTGCAGCAGGGTGCGCAGCCAGCGGATTCACCTGCAGACCTGGCCACTAAAGTGGATGTGATTATAACGATGCTTCCAACCCCTGCTATTGTGAGATTACCACACTTGTTATTGTGGTGGGGTGCTTTGACATGGTCATGCTGGTTTGCACGCCACTGGGGTCTAGCTGGCTCTGTTCCACCATCAATCCCTCACTCCTCTCTCTTAACTTGAAATCAATTCCCTTTTCCGCCCAACAACGCTCCTGCCTGTGCTGTGTCTCTATATCCCCCTCTCCCCGCTCTCCCCCCTCTCCGCCCGCTCTCCCCCCTCTCCGCCCGCCCTCCGCCCTTCCCTTTCCACTGAGCCGTCAGGTGTTGGACGTCTACACAGGCCCATCCGGCGTCCTCACAGCAACAACCACCACCCGCTCCCCTCCCTCCTCCTCAGCCACTCCCACCCCTCAGTCCCCTCCGTCCGCCGCACCTCCTCTCCCTTCCTCCTCCTCCATCAGGCCCCATCTGCTCATCGATGCCTCCACGGTGGACCCTGCCACGTGTCATGCCATCGCTGCCGCCGCACAGGCATGCGCCGTGGCGCCCAGCGCGCTGCACTCGCTGCATGGTGAGCAGAGGGAAGGGTGCTGAGGGAGGGAGGAGAGGGGTGCCGACGCACGATGCTTGCTGTCCGGGCCGCGTGCTGTGTGCGGTGGCGTGCGCAGTGTGCATTGTTTCGCAAGCCTCTGCCCTTTCTGTTACATGCATGGCACTTTACCTCATGAGCACTGTGCGTACCGGTTGCCTTTTTGTTTCCCACAGCTGCATTCCTTGCCCCACTACGCATGCCTCCCTCGCTCCCCTTTGTGCGGCTTCTCTTGCTCCGGTGCGGCCATGCGTGCAGGTCCCCCCTTGGTGGTGGATGCCCCTGTGTCAGGAGGTGTGGGTGGGGCCAAGGCAGGCACACTCACGTTCATGGTGCGATGTGCATGCGCACACACATCCTCCCATGTGCTTGTTTATAATCACCACGCGACATGCATGCTCGCTGCAGGCACCGCTCATAGATGAGATTCGCATGGCTGCATAGGTGGGCCTAGGGCTCTTCACAGTCGTGTTTTGTTGTACCACTCATGGCAATGAGCACGCCAAGTGTCAAACCCATCTCTCCCTATGCCCCTCTTGCCACCCCTTCTCTCCCCCGCGCCTCCCCGCCCTTGCATCAGGTGGGCGGGACCTCAGAAGCATTCAGCCAGGCGGCGCCGCTGCTGGCCGCCATGGGCTCTCGCTCGGTGCACTGCGGCCCCACTGGCTCAGGCGCGGTGAGATTGCTGCCACGCTGCACCCCATGTGCCATGTTCCCGTCGGTTGCCGCATGCGCCATGAGTGATTTATTGCCCTGTACCATGTTGCATGCAGTAAATGCAGCACTTCACGAGTCACACCATGCGCCTCATGCGCTTTGCCCAGCACTCGCTTCACCACGCATGCATGCATGCGTGTGTGCATGCAGGCGGCCAAGCTGTGCAACAACCTCGCGCTGGCCATACAGATGGCGTCGGTATCAGAGGCCCTAGCACTGGGGCAGCGCCTGGGGCTGTCCCCGGCGCTGCTGTCCGCCATCTTTAACTCCTCCTCTGCCAAGTGCTGGTCCAGGTGGGCCATGGTGATGATGCTGTTGCTTCTGGGTGTGCCATTTGTGCAGGTAGGGCGACGCGGCTGATCCTCCAGATGGGTATGCTGCTGGATGGTGCAGGGATGCTTCACTTCCTTTTAGTCCCTTCCTCACAACCACTGCTGTCTGTGTATTGCCCTTGAACCATGCATGCACACTCAACCCATGGCCACCCCATGCTAACCCCATGGCCCCACACAACCATCCTCCCCCCCACCCCCCCCGGCTGAACACGGCAGTGAGGTGTACAATCCAGCACCAGGCGTGATGGCGGGTGTGCCCTCTGCGCGGCACTACCAAGGCGGATTCTCCAACGCTCTCATGGTGCGGGGTGATGCGACGCTGTGGGTTGATCTAGTGAAGGTTCTCTCTACTGGCGTACTTCGGATCTTGTACAGACCCACTTTGGTATGAACGTTTTTCCCCAACAATGTGGGTTTCGCTGTACTGGTGTGGAGTGGGACAAGTGCTGAGCACGTGTGCGCAGCCATGCGCATTCAAATCATGTGCGCGGCTTTCCTGTCATGCACTTGCTCATTCCCATTCCCGCCACCACTGCGTGCTTTCTTCTCGCCATCTCCGCCCTCCGCCCTCCGCCCTCTGCCCTCCCACCTTCTCCCCACTGTCCCCCTACCATCTGTGCTTGACCTCTCGGCCTGGCCTCCCTCCCTCCCAACTCCCCAGAGCAAGGACCTGGGTCTGGCCGTGGCAGCAGCACGGGCAGCAGGGGCGCCTGTTCCTCTGGGGGAGAACGTCATGGGCATGTGAGTCTGTGCTGGGATGGTGGATGGGGTGTGCTGTGTGGGGCTGAGGTGTGCGACAGGTGACTATTGAGGCTTGTTCTTCAAGCTTTTGGCTTGATAACAAGACGATAAAACATATTGAGAAGCAAGTGTGGCTGCTTTTTTTTGTGACCCGCATCTAATCTTGTGTGTCCCAGCAAAGCCGCTGTACCCTGCCATGCCATGGCTCACTTCGTGGCCCGCCACCCTCCTGTGTCGTGTCTGGTGTGCTCGCTGCAGGTACTCCGACATGGTGAGCAAGGGTGCAGCAGGGGATGATTTCTCCAGCATATACAAGCACAGCTATGGCGGTGAGCCAGTGGAGGTCTGAAGGAAGTGGAGGCGTGGAGTCTAATTGCATTGGCGGGTGGACTGAGGGGTGTTCAGGATGGAGTCTGAATCTGCAACGGAATTGAAGTGGGCTCGCGGAGGAAACGTGTATGTGCATTTTTGCATGTTATTGCTTTGTAAATATTTAGCATTTTTGTACAGGACGAAGTATCATACTTCGTTGGACGTATATTTACACCAATTTCCCACTAGCATGTCGGTTTTATATAGTTTCTACCACCAAGCTCGTTGTATGACGAATTTGGAATTAAATTTCACTTCCATGAACAATGGGAGGAAAGGCAATTATGAATGAATACACACACGTGACCACAAGGCGAAATGTAATGATACTGACACTCGTGCTAGTATGACATTTTCGTACTGAATGTCCATCACAGCTCTAAATGAGGTAATGAATGAGTCCCCTCTCCCATTCGTTGTTTACGTGGCAGTTCGTGAATGGTTTCTTTTCCATGAAACGTGGCGAATTGTTGTTGCTCGACGGTGTCAGTTCAGCCCCCCCAACCTTGATTTGGCCCATGGAGTCGTGGGATTGCGCAGTTGGAGGATGTGCAGAATCCCCATAAGTCGCAAGGATCTTGGTTACCCTAGAAACGCTTCGCATGCCACCTCCAGGCAGTATTGCACTTTCGCGAACCCCGCAGAGCGTCGCCCCCTCGACCATAATACGGATGTACTCAGCTGTCTTTCTTGGCGATAATTGAAGCGCCAGCATCACCCTCCTCAGCAGCAGAGCAACCCTCGCGCATCCCTGTTGTTGTCTATCTAGTTCCGAATCGCGTGCTCTGCGCACGACGCACTAGCGACACCAGCAACAGCCGAATGTCGTGACCCACATTCTCCCACCACTATGTCGACTCTGCCGTGTGCTCTCGCCGTCGCGCCATCCACGACGTCTTGTCCAATCAGCTTCCGCCCCTCATCCCCTCGCCCGGCTTTCGACCACTTTTCGCTGCGCTCTTCCCCTTCGATCGCAGCATGCGCTCGTCGCGCCGTCTTTCCGCGTTCTCCTAGACATATTTCCGGTCACGCGCACCGTCTCAAGGCGCTCTCTTCCCCCTCCCCCTTCCTCTCCTTTTCCTCCCCTCGCCTCTTCCCCCCAACTCCCCCCCTTCCCGCCACTTTCTCCCGCCCTACCCGCGTCTCTCTCCGCCGCGTCGTCGCGTCGGCTAGCGCCGCCGCCGCCGCGAGCCCCTGGCCGGCTGGAGACGGCCGTCGCGAGGATGCCGGCGCGAATTCCGCCGCAGCAGCTGCAGCCGCCGCTGCGGGGGGGCAGGCGGAGGCGGCGCAAGCGGCCACTAGCGACGCGCGGAGCGCAGCGGGGCGGCGGAAGGTGTTCGCTTGGGAGGCGGATGCTGGCGCCGACGCGCCGCGGCGGCTGCACTCGTCGTGGGCCACCGCGCCGGCGCCGCTGCCGCCGTCGCCTAAGGACTCGTCGATCCTGGGGGTAAGGCGCGGTTCGCGGTGGGGGTTGGGGAGTAAGTCTGGGTGGGGCGGACAGGGGATGTGGGTGCGCATCGTCCTTGTTGCTTGTCTTCCCCATGCATATCTCCCCTGTGCACGTCTCCCGCCATGCTCGTCCCCCCCCACACTCGCATCGCTGGCGTCTCACTGTCCCCACAGGCGACTGCAGGCTGCAGGCCACTCCGGTGCCTCCCCCTTCTTTCCACCTCCGCCCACTGTCTGTCCCCCGCTTCGCTTCCCCCTTCCCTCTTCCCTATCCCCCCCGCACCTCCCCTCCCCCTCCCCCCAGGTTCTCCCGTACCTGTGGCGCCTGGCAGCGGACGACCGCTCTCTCCGGTGGCGCATCCTCGTGGCGCTGCTGCTGCTGGTCGCTGGCAAGGTGGGGGGGGGAGTGGGGGGATGGGAGGGTGGGGCAGGGGGGAATGAAGAAGACAGAGAGGGGGGGGAGGGGGAGAGGGGGGCGGAAGGGAAGGGGGAGGAGCCCGGGTAGAGATGTGGGTTAGGGGAGAGAGGGAGTCTGCTGCACGGGGGTAATGGGGGGGGAGAGAGTGGGGGAGGGGGAGCAGGGGTGGGTGGGAGAGTGGATATGAAAGTATGCCCGAACAGATGACTGGTCTCCTGCTGACTATCCTCGTAGGGGAGCACCTCCTTTGCTTCCAGACGACCTACTTGCCTATCACCCCCATTTCTCCACTCTCCCCTCTCCGCTCTCCATCTCCTTTCCCTTCTCCCCTCTCCCCTCCTACCTCTCCCCTTGTCCCTCACCCCTCTCCCCTATTCCCCCCCCCCCCTGCCTCACACCCCTGCATCCCTGCCCCTGCCAGACAGCGGGCCTGGCTGGGCCGCTGATGTTCAAGCGTGCGCTGGACGCGCTGACCAACGCGCAGGGGCTCACACGCAAGGCCATCATCGCTGCGCTCGCTGCCCTCGTGGTGTCCGCCGCTTCCAAGGTGAGACCACAGGCTGCTCGTGCGCCGCCTCACGTGCTGGCGTTTCACTTCTCTTGCTGCCCTCGCTGCTCTGCTAATGGCATGGGGTTGGGGACTGGGGAAGGAGGAGGGCGAGAGGCAGGCGCCATGTTGGCACCACCACCACCCCAGACATGCAGGCAGGCAGTGAGTGCATTGTTCCGTCCACTCAAAAGCACCTTATGTCATTCTCATACCCATCTCCACCCTCCTCCCCAACCTCCACTCCCCTCCCTCCCTCAGGCAGTGAGTGCAGCGTCAACAGAGCTGTCTGCATAGGCTGCCTGTCCCGCAGCCCCACAACGAATCCGCTCACAATGCACCCATCCCTGTCCCTCTCCATATCCATCTCACCTCGCCCTCCCCCTCTCTTCCAACCGGCCAACTGCCACCAGGCAGTGAGCGCAGTGTCAACGGAGGAGCTGGGCAGGACAGTTTTCACGCCCATGGGTCAGGCAGTCTATGCAGGCAGTGGTTCAGTCTTACTCATGACAAAGCAGGCCTCTGCCTCACCGTGTTTCCCCGTGTTTCCCCATGTTTCCCCGTGCCTCCCCGTGCCTCCACGTGCCTCCCCATGTCCCCGTTGCTGTTCACCCCATCCTCTCCAACAGTGAGCACGGTGTCCACGGAGCTGCAAAACGTGGTCTTCACGCCCGTGGGGCAGGCGGTGTTTCAAAGCCACTCACAATACACCAAGTCCCTGTCCCTGTACGCAAACTCGTCCCCTCCTCCTGCCCCTCAATCCTCTCCCCCCACTCCAGGCAGTGAGTGCGGTGTCCACGGAGCTGCGCAACATAGTCTTCACGCCCGTGGGGCAGGCGGTGGGGCGGCGTGTGGAGTACCACTTCTTTGCGCACATCCTCGCCATGGACTCCGCCTTCCACCTCGACCGCAAGACCGGCGCGCTCGCCAGGATCATTGAGAGGGGCAAGCGCTCCATCATCATGATCTTCAGAGCAGTTGGTGAGTGCAAGTGGAGTGCGGAAGAGGGGGGGGGGGGGTCGGAGGGGGGATAGCATGGGAGTGGTGTGGGCTTTCTTCTCATATGTACATCTGCATGCGTGATTGTGCTCGCTGTTGCTTCCCCCCCCACCCCCCTTCCCCTCTCTTTTCCACCTGCAGTGTTCACGTTCATCCCCACGGAAGTGGAGCTGCTGCTCTTGTGCGGCTCTTCTGTCTGCGTCCCTGCTCGCTACTCTCTGCTCCCACTGACCTTGCCCACTCACTTTCCTTTCCTCCCCCCCCTCCCTCCTCTAGTGTTCACGTTCATCCCCACAGCGGTGGAGCTGCTGCTGGTGTGCGCGCTGCTAGCGAACCACATCTCGCTGTCGTTTGCGGGCGTGGTGCTGCTCACCTTCGTTGTTTACGTCGCTTGGACCGTTGCCCTCACCAAGGCCTCCGTCTCCATTCGCAAAGAGGTGCTGCTGCCTGCTGCCTGATTTCTCGTGCACACACACACACACACACACACACACACACACACACACACACACACACACATGCATGCATTCTGCCACCCATGCATGTACGCACCCTCCCATGCATGCACACACCCACTCACAGATGTGCGCACACATACCCCTGTTTCAAATTGCATGCATGCCGGACACAAACGCTCCCATATGCTTTTACCCACATGCCCGCTCCCTCAATCCCTCTCCGGCTCCCCACTTTCTCCTCCTCTCTTCCCATCTCGTCACCCGTCGTCCCCCACCAGGTGAATCGCCTGGACGGGCTGGCGACAGGCAAGGTGGTGGACGTGCTGCTCAACCACGAGACGGTCGTGCAGGTGAGGCCTCACCTGCATGGCTGTGCCCCGTGGGGGGGGGAGGGAGGGGCGTGGTGTGAGGGAGAGGAGGAAGGGCGGAGTGAGGGAGGGGAGGAAGGGCGGAGTGAGGGAGGGGAGGAAGGGTGGAGTGAGTGAGAGGGGGTAAGAAACAGGGAGACCCCACCGAAGGTGTGCGTGAAAGTGAATGGACCATTTGTAAGTGGTTATTTATTCTCCAATTTCCAATGCTGATTGCATTTATAGCTGTAAGCAAATGTGACATGTAGCGCAGTCTCCCCTGGCATGTTACTCCCTTGTGTTCCACGATACATCCTCCGCTCTTTCCTCTTTCTCCATCTCCCGCCTCCTGCCTCGCGCCCTCTCTCCCCCCCTCCAGTTCAACAACCAGCGCTTGGATCTGATGCACTACGACTCGCTCCTAAGGGACTACCAGAGAGAATCCGTGAGTAGCCACGGCCCACGCACCCTGCAGCCTCAATGAGAATGAGAATGGGAATGGGAATGGGAATTGGAATGGGAATGGGAATGGGAATGGGAATGGGAGAGGGTGTGCGTCGGATGGGAACGACCCTAATGGCGTGCTCTTCCCATCCGACGCCCACCCTCTCCCATCGGGGTCTTTCCAGCCGGACAAGTTAGGCCGGTCAGCATGGAAAGCGCGGATGTGGGGAGAGGGGCTGTGGCAGCTCTGTGCTGCCTGCCTTTGACAGACGGGCTGAGAGTTGAGAGTCGAGACTGCCCGCCCGTATGTGTGTTGGTGGCGAGTGCCCTGCATGTCCTGCTTGCTCCATCCACGAGTGCCTTTCAGACGGTTCAAGAGGTGCACTCTCCACCGGTACTTGTGCTCCATTGCATCTGTGCACGCCCCAAACCAAACTGCGGCTTACCCCACCGGATGTGCGGAGGTGAAGGTGAAGGTGAAGGTGGTGATGGTGATGGGTGGTACGCCCATGTCGGAGGAGGCGTTGCGGAACGTCGAGCACATGCCCATCATCTCTACCACCGCTCCCCCATGTATATTGTGTGTCTGTGTCTGTGTCTGTGTCTGTGTCTGTGTCTGTGCCTGTGTCTGTGTGCGACTGCGTGTGTCCCCTTGCACTCACCTCAACGGCTCAACCCCCCACCAGGTGCGCCTGGAGAAGGTATCAGCAGCGCTGAACGGTGGGCAGACGACGATCATCTCCATTGGGCTGGCGGCGGTGATGGCCATGGCGGGGCTGCGAGTGGCTGTGGGGCGCATGACTGTGGGCGACCTCGTGCTCGTCAACGGACTCATTCTGCAGCTCTCCCTGCCGCTGCAGGTGTGCTGCTGCCCTGCCCTGCCCTGCCCTGCACTGCTATGCCTGCATTGCACCACCCTTGGTCTGCTCTCTTTCTCCCCCTTTGTTCCCCGTTCCCTCTTCCATCCCCCCCCCCCCCTCCGGCCCCCCGGATTTTATTCTCCCTGTACCAAGAATGCCTCATTTTTCTCCCCCTCTGCGTGCTTCACCTTTGTTCTCGTCCTGCGCCCATCTCAGTTCCTGGGCTTCCTGTACCGTGACCTGCGCCAGTCCCTCGTCGACATGGAGGCCATGTTCCACATGCTCAGGTGATTTGCCACATGCTCAGGTGATTTGCCACATACTCAGGTGATTTGCCACTTGCTCAGGTGATCTGCCACATGCTCAAGTCATTAGCCATACGCTCAGGTGATTTGCCACATGCTCAGGCGATTTGCCACTTGCTCAGGTGACTATCAGCTGCCAAGGCCAGATTGGTTAGTAGTCCTTGCTCCACTTCACCCAGAGCTGACAGTCAGACAGTAGGAGCTTCTCATGCCATCCATTCCGCCCTCCCTGTCCCCTTTCCCCCCTCCCTTCCCTCCGTATCCCAGTCTGGAGTCGGAGCTGCGGGACGGGCATCTGGAGTTGGCAGCGAGGGCGGCGGGCGTGGCAGTGGATGTGGACAATATCTCCTTCAGCTACATGAACGGCCGCCAGGTGAGGAGGAGAGGAGGAGAGGAGGGTGGGGCGAGGGAGCATGACAGTGTGGGCGGGGTGTGAAAGAAAGAGGGAGTTGCCAGCGAGGGCAGCAGGCATGGCAGTGATGTTGACTACATCTCCCCCAGCCACCTGAGGCCCCAAAAAACAGAAATCTCCATGTTGCAATCCGGAGCGGGTCTGGAAAGTTTCCTGTTGCACCCTCGTCTCCTCTCTGCCTCCTCCTCTTTTCCCTCCACTTCTCCCCCCCCCACCTTCCTCCTCTCCTCGTTCGCACGCCTGGTGAGAGTGTGGTTTAAAGTCGCACCTCCATCCCCCCTAAACCATCTCCCTTCGTCTCCTCTCGCCAATCCCTCTGTCCCCCATCCCCTTCCATCCAGGTGTTGAAGGGGGTGTCACTCTCCATAGCACCCGGCGAGAGCGAGGTCACTTTTGAGTCAACTAAAGAGTCTTTCTCTCCCTCCCCCTCCATCCAGGTGTTGAAGGGGGTGTCGTTCTCCATAGCGTCCGGCGAGAGCGTGGCCATAGTGGGGCCGTCGGGGTCGGGCAAGTCCACCATTGTGAAGCTGCTGCTGCGCCTCTACGACCCCTCCTCCGGCTCCATCTCCTTTGATGGGATCGATGCCCGCGAGCTCAAGCAGGTGCGGAGAGGTGGTGGAGAAGGTGGGGGGAGGGTGCTGCAGGTGGGGGGTTGATGCAGCAGCACAGATGGCAGCATGGGCATTGAACGAGGGGATAAGTGTGTAGGCAACATCAGCTGTGAGACATCTCAGAAGCCATGTGTTCACTCAGCAAATCCGCTCCCTCCCACTCCCCTAATCTCCCTCCATTCTCACCTCGTCAATCTTCACCTCTTTCTCATCCTCCTCCCTCCCTGCCCTCTACAATCCTCCACCTACCTCCCCTCCATCTCCCTTCCACCTCCCCCTGCTCGTCTCCCGCCCCCCCTCCCAGGAATCCCTGCGGCAGGCAGAGGCAGTGGTGCCGCAGGACACTCCGCCATTCGACAACAGCATTTGCTACCTCGTCGCGTGAGCTTTTCAGACACCTCAAAAGCCCCTCCATCCTTTCTCCCCCAACCCCCCCCCCACTCCCCGCCTTCACCCTCCCTCCCAGGAGTCCCTGCGGCAGGCAGTGGCGGTGGTACCCCAGGACACGGTGCTGTTCAACGACAGCATCCGCTACAACATCGCTTACGGCCGCCCCTCCGCCTCCGTTGCTGAGGTCGACCGGGCTGCCGGCCAGGCGGTCAGTGCCAACTCCTGTGCCCTAAACCCGAAACCCTGCATGGGGGCCTGCAAGCACACATGCGCACACATGCTCGCATCCATGCCACTCCTCCAATTGATGCACTCCTGCATGCTTGGGTTGCTGTGTTGTTCCTTTGCCGTCACACCCAGGTTCTTCTCATAATCATGCTTTGGGGGGATTGGGGAAAGGTACCGTACTGTGCACCCGGGTAAGTAGTCATGTTGAAAATACACACTACACTTTCTCATTCCCCTTCCCTTTCTCCTCGCTCTCCCCTTTCTTTCCTTCCCCCTTTTCCCCTTTCCCCGCCTCCGCCTCTGCCCCCCTTGCAGAAGCTCCTGGACGCCATCCAGCGCATGCCGGACGGCTTTGACACGGTGGTGGGGGAGCGCGGGCTGAAGCTGAGCGGCGGGGAGAAGCAGCGCGTGGCCATCGCGCGCGCCTTCCTCAAGAACCCGCGCCTGCTGGTCTGCGACGAGGCCACCAGCGCACTGGATTCTGCCACTGAGGCGAACATTCTGCGATCGCTGCAGCAGCTGGCGGCCGGCAGGAGCTGTTTGTTTGTGGCACACAGGCTGAGCACGATCAAGCACTGCGATAAGATCCTGGTGAGAGGCAGGGTTGTTATTAGGTAGACGTGGGGAAGAGAAATAGCATTGGCCTTTTGCCTTACATCAGCAGTTCCGTTATGTGCCAAGACTGTGTCGTTTAGGCTCAACTCATTAGTTGCCTCACTACCTCAGAACCAGCTCACAACGACTTGCTTCATCATGCCTGTCTGATGATTTCTTCATTTCCAAACTCGTGCTCTCATTTTCTCTCCCTTCCTTTGACCATTTTTCCTTCTGTCGTGTCTTCTGCCCACTCCCTCCCTCCCCAACCTCTCCCTCCTTGCATGCCTGCCTCTACCGCTTGAGCAGGTGATGGAGGCGGGGCGGGTGGTGGAGCAGGGCACGCACGAGCAGCTGCTGGCAGCAGGGGGCAAGTATGCTGCCATGTGGATGCTGCAGGACTCAGAGCGCCCCGCCCTCACACCCATGCCCAAGCCGGCTGCTCATGCCACTCACACACATGCTGCTGCTGCTGCTGCTGCTGCTGCTGCAGACACAGCGGAAACAATTTCGCCTGTGGTGCATGCCGCCGCAGCAGCAGTAGCAGTAGCAGCAGGAGCAGCAGCAACGACACACACGGATGTGACAGTAGCCACGCCAACACAACACGACTCACAGAACGGTTCTGTCAGTGGTGTCTCGCCGCCAGGAAGCAATGGGGCTGTGACTTCCATGGGCAGGGGCACGGACGAGGGGTGGCGCATGAGTGAGAGTGGAGGAGGGAGAGTGAGTGAGGGCGAAGCTGAGGTGGAGGAGCAGCTGAGGGCGGTGGCTGAGAGTGAATCGGAATGGCGCACAGATGGGAGAGTAGCAGTGGGGCTAGAGGGGGTGGGAAGAAGGAGAGCAGGCGAGCAGGTGAATGGTGAAGGAGATCGCATGTGGGGGGCGGATGAGGAACATAATGGTGCTGGAGGGGAGGGTGGGGAGAGGAATGGGGGTGCTGATGGTAGTGTGATTGAGGATACTGGAGGTATGCACCATGATGGAGAGCATCTGGACGAGGAAGGTGGTAGTGGGAGGAGCGGAGGCAGGGTGCGAGGGCTCCGACAAACCTCGCTGTTTTTGAGTGAGTTTGCTCGTGCAGGAGAGTACACAGGGAGTGAGGGGCATGTGGAGGATCTCGTTCTTGCAGAGGATGAGATTGAAAGGGAGGAGAGTGAAGGAGAGAGCGATGGTGAAAAAGGGATGGGAGACCAAGGATCACAATTACCAAGCAGCAGGGCAAAGCTCGAGGATTCCCACGGCTCACCTTGAACCTTCATGTGTGGTCATGCTTACGGTTCAGCTAGAATTGCCATATGGACCATCATCCGCTGTGCATTCCATGTCAAACATATTTGTGCATGTTAAGTAGACTACATAGGGTTTTGCTGTAGAGAGTACAACCCACTAGCTATGTACCCATATATACTTTCATTCTAGCTTTTCACTTCTAACTTTAAGATGGTATCATGAGTAGGTTAGGTCCCCCCCGCCCACCTGCGCTTCCGCCTTAAGTCCTAGCTGCCCCATGGGCCCTGCTGCTCTGTTGCCTTGCTGGCCCCACGGCCCCGTTCCCTAGCGCCTAGCCGCCCGTGGCCTCGCCGCGGCCCCGTCACCTAGTGCCTAGCCCCCGCGGCTCCGTCACCTAGCTCCTAGCCACCCGTGGCCCCGTCGCCCCGTCACCCAGCGCCTAGCTGCCCAGCTGGCCCCGCGGCCTTGTCATCTAGCGCCTAGGCGCCCGTGGCCCCGTTGCCCCGCCACCAAGCGCCTAGCCGCCCCGCTGACCCCGCGGCCCCGTCACCTAGCGCCCAGCCGCCTGTGGCCCTGTCGCCCCGTCACCCAGCGCCTAGCCGCCCTGCTGGCCCCGCGGCCGCGTCGCCCCTAGCGTAGCCGCCCGGCCGCCCCGTCGCCTTAGCCGCCCTGCTGGCCCCGCGGCCGCGTCGCTCCTAATGTCGCCGCCCTGCCGCCCCGTCGCCTAGCCGCCTTGTCGTCTAGCCGCCCCGTGGCCTAGCTGCCCCGTGGCCTAGCCGCCCCGTCGCATAGCCGCCCCGCGGCCTCGTCGACCAGCCACCCCGCGGACCCGTCGTCACGCTGCTCCGCGGCCCCGTAGCCCAGCCGCCCCGCGACCCGTCGCCCCGCTGCTCCGCGGCCCCGTCGCCCAGCCGCCCCGCGGCCCCGTCTCCCAGCTGCTCCGCGGGCCCCGTCTCCCAGCCGCCCCACGGCCCCGTCGCCCGGCCGCCCCACGGCCCCATCTCCCAGCGGCTCAGCCGCCGTGTTTCCCGGTCCCCGCCCGCTTCACTGGCCCTCTCCACCGTCCTGCACCGCACCCCACAGTGCTGCACCGTTCGGCACCGCACTGCACTGCGCCCCACCACACTGCATCGCGCCCCACCTCACTGCACCGCGCCCCACCGCACTGCGCCGCTCTGCATCGTGTGGCACCGCACTGCACGGCGCCCCACCGCACTCCACCGCATTGCACCGTACAACACTCTTCCTCACTGCTCCTCGTCGCTCATTCACCGCCTGTTCGCAGCTGCAGCGGTCTTCATGACGGACTCGGTGCTGCGCTTTGACGTGGAGGGTCAGCCAGGTGAGTTCGACTCATGGCTCATCGGCCTCCGCTGTCACTTCATTGGTCAGCGGCAGGACGGCCACTCCCTGGACGTCCACATTGACGGTACGCTCCCCTGCCCTGACCCCCCTGTTTCTCTCCCCGCTGACCCCACGTCTGCAGACCGCGAGTCCGCCGCCACTGCTGCCCTTGCCCGTGTTGTCTGGCTGTCGCGTAACGCTGTCGCTCAGCTCGCGATTAGCCATGCCCTCCCCCTGTCAGAGTGCCCTCGCTTTAAGTCTGTCAGGACTGCGCAGGAGTTCCTAGAGGCTGTTGTCGCGTGTTATTCCACCCCGTCCTCTGCCTCTGCCGGCCGACTGACCCTTCCCATGCTCTTCCCTGATCTTGCCTCTTTCTCCATTGTCGCTGACCTGGCCACGCACCTGCGCACGCTCGACGCTAGCTGGCGCGCTGCCTACACTGAGGCCCAGCTTCGTGTGTTCCAGCCCCCTATCTGCTCTACCCTTTACCTGCTTGCCACCCGCCTCCTCGACCGCCTTGCCACTACTCGCGACCACTTTCATAGTCTGCACCCCGCTGACCTCACCCTCTCTGACTTTGTCAACACCCTGTCTGCCATAGAGACCCGTCAGCGCTCTATCGCCCAGTCTAGTAGTACTGCGCCGGTCCCTATCTTTCAGGGTTGTGCTCCCGCCCAGTGCACTTACTCTTACGGTTCTGCAGCTGTAGCTGAGATAGCCCCTGCTACTGAGACCGCTGGCGCGGTGGCCAAAGTGCATTCCCGTTATGGTGAGGCTCGCTGCCCCAAGGCTGGGAGCGGCGGGGGTAGTGGAGGAGGGGGTGGAGGTGGTGGTGGCAGTGGTTCATCCGCTGGCGGTAGTACTGACGAGGGAGCTGGAGCTGGCGCCTCGGAGCAGCAGCCCTAGTGGGAGCAGCAATAGGCACTACAGCTTGACTAGCACCAGCAGCAGCAATCGCAGCGGAGGGTCGGCCGTCCCGCTTGGGTGGCCTGGTGCTGGTGGTGGTGGTGGTGGAGGCGGTGGTCGTGCACGTAGCTTGTCCTCGGGTGGTGGTGCGAGTGACGGGCGCTGCCAGTACTAGTTCCAGACCGGTCCTCGCCGTGGCCTCATGTGCGGTAAGATCGGTAATTACCCTCCTCGGCAGCGCCTCCGTGCACCCCTTGGGTCGCGGGCCAGCTACGCCGTGCCACTTACTCCTCCTCGTTCCCTCCCACTACCGCACAGTAATAGACCCTGCACATGGACGTCTGGGGCCCCGCCCCTATCCATGGGCTACGTCGTGAGCATTACTCGCTACACCACCGTGTTTCCCCTGAAGCGGAAGGCCGACATGCCGACGTTCTTATCCCGTGGCTTGTCTCTGGACGTGTGCACCGAGGTCTCCCTGTGTTGCATCTTCACTCCGACCATGGTGGCGAGTTTGCCTCTGACTGCCTTAGTCGCTTGTGTCGTGCGGAGGGCATCACCCAGACATACACCCTGCCAGACTCCCCGCAGCAAAATGGGGTCATTGAGCGACGCATCGGTTTGGTCATGGAGGTGGCTCGTACCTCCATGATCCATGCCGGTGTACCCCATTTTCTGTGGCCGTTCGCCGTTCGCTACGCTGCCGCCGCACCCTGAGCGGCCGCAGCTTTTGCCGACTCTCCTCTGGATTGGGTCTCCTGGCGACGTATCTGCGTTCCACGTCGGGGGCTGCCTTCCTCACGTTCGTGCCTCTGGCACGGACAACGGAGATGACTACTCTTTGGGTACTGCTACACGTAGCAGCACAGCGTGACTATGAGTTGCACTCACTCGACTTCTCCACAGCTTTCTTATAGGGCAGTCTACACGAGCAGGTCTACCTGTGCCGCCCCCAGGGCTTCTCCAGTACCTTTCCCCTGGTACTGAGTGGCTCCTCCGGCACCCTGACTACGGCTTGCGCCATGCGCCCCATGAGTGGCACAATTCGCTGCATGCTACACTTGCTCGCCTGCAGTTCTTCCCGTCGCTTGCGGACTCCTCGCTCTTCGTCCGTTCCAACCAAACTCCACTCTACATCATTGTTTATGTAGATGAACTGGTCTTTGCTACTACAGACAGAGACGCCCTGGCCTCCGTGAAGGCCGAGCTGTTGAGAAGACACACATGCATTGACCTAGGAGAGTCGCGCCGCTACCTTGGCTTGTAGATCTCCAGGTATAGAGCAGCGCGCACCATTACTCTCACACAGTCACACTTGGTGCACCAGGTTCTTCAAAGGTTCGGCCTTCAGTTCTCTTCCGCACAGCCCACCCCTCTGTCAGTAGACCACAGACTCTCTGCTCCAGTTCTGGAGGAGGTTGTAGAGCCTAGTGATCCTTACGCAGAGCTGGTGGGTTGCCTCATGTAACCTGATGACTTGCACTCGTCCAGATCTCGCATACCCTCTCAGCATCGTGGCCCGCTTTGTGGCCTCCGGCAGACACTGTCCACAGCACTGGTCTGCGGCTAATAGGGTTTTGCGTTATCTAGCAAGTACATCGGGTATGGGGCTAGTGCTAGGAGGACGCAGACTAGTGGTCCTTACCGGGCACACAGAAGCTTCTTCGGCAGACGACGCTGGGACTCTCAGTTCCTCCCAGGGCTATTGCTTTAGCCTTGGTGTGGGTGATGTTTCGTGGAGGTCCACTCGCTCGTCGTCTGTTGCCCAGTCCAGCTGTGAGGCTGAGACCTACGGTGGTGCCATGGCGGCACATAGGCTCCTTGGTGAGCGGCCTAGCTTTGCCCCGGTTCTGTACGCTGACAACATGGCTATGATCCTCATGTGTCAGGAGGATAGACTCGAGGGCAGAGCGAAGCACATCCAGCTGCGGTACTTCCTCATGCGCGAGCTACAGCAGCGTCGCCAGGCCTGCGTAGTACAGTTGGCCTCCGGTGCCAACATAGCTGATATCTTTACGAAGGTGCTTGCGCCTGAAAATCATCAGCGGCACTGCGTATTGCTTGGACTCGTTCCTGTAGCACCTCATTTGCTAGGACCTTGATTGTGTATAACTCTTTATACACTATCTGACTGGCCTTGTGACTTTCTTCCAGTGGCTGGACTAGTAGTGCCGCCCTGGACTTGTTCTTGCCTTGTTTGTACTCTTTTGGCTGGTCTTTAGACCCATGCCTCAGAGGTTGGACTAGTAGTGCCGCCCTTAGCTGTTTGTCTCTCACTTGATTCTGCCCGTATCTAGTCTAGGGGGTATGTCAAACATATTTGTGTATGTTTAGTAGACTACATAGGGTCTTGCCATAGAGAGTACAACCCACTAGCTATATACCGCTGTATACTTTCATTCTAGCTTTTCACTTATAATTTTAAGATTCCATTCCATGCCCATATGATCAAGTGTGACGTGTGCAATATTCAGGAAAATATCAATTGTAAACCTGATGATGCATTTGTAAATCGATCATTTTGTTTCCAAATCTTTGGGTGCGTAAAGTGTTTATATAGTGGTCCATGTGTATTACTAAGCAAAATTTGGGGATGAAGTGAAATGCTTGAGATACGGTATATACCTTGTCGTTCGTGAATCATCATTGTACCGGCTCGTTCGAAAGGATCCCAAGAGTATCGTCATCCTCGCTATGAAATAATCCCAGTTCCCAAGAGGCACAAACATAGCAAACTTCGAAGCGCCAGCTGGGCGTCAGCCACGTCATTTTCAGTTCAACGGAGATTCGAGCCCACGAGCCGCGGTGCACTTTCCCTGGCTCGAACTGAGCTCAAATTCACCCCGAGCTCTTCACCCAGACCACCATTTCTCAGCTCCCAGTGTTGGAGGCATCATCAGTCCAACATGACAGGCCCTCACACCGGAACGAGAGGATTCGCCTCCAGGAAGTCTAGTTCTCACGTTAGCACAGCAAGTTCCGCTAGCACTCTCAGCAGCGAGCCTGCAGGTAGCACCGTAACCACCACAACTTCTGCTAGCAGCATCAGGTCTGCAGCTGTTACCAGCGGCAATTCCTTGTCGAACCTCCTGGAAGGTCTGGCATCATTGCTGGACAGAATTGTGCTAGCATGCGAGGCTCAAGAAGGATCCCGTCCGGTTCTTCCGGATGAAGTCACATTATATCATGGACTACGTGCTCCTGATATAACAATCCACAAGTATCTGGAAAGGGTCTACAAGTACACCAGGTGCTGTCCGGACTCAGTCGTCGTTTCATACGTCTACATTGACCGCATCATGAAGACTACAGGAATGTCAATCACATCTCTGAATGTTCACCGGCTTCTGGTCACAAGTGTTATGGTTGCAGCCAAATTTCTGGGGTCTGCGTGAGTATTCCTGGAAAAAGAGTTGATTTGCTCCGTTGAAGCAATGACATCATCTAAAAATGTGTTTTTCCTTGCAGGTACTTCAACAACGCGTGTTTTGCCACTGTTGGAGGAATCGGAACAAGTGAAATCAACAAGCTTGAGTTGGACTTTCTGTTTCGCATCAATTTCACTCTAAATGTGACAGCTGAGGAATTCAAGCAGTACAAGATGCACATTGAAGAAGAGCTTGACGTTTCCATGTCTATCGCTCAAGACAACTTCGCCGGTGGATCCACGAAGCTTTTAAAACACCAAGAACAAGCAGGCGACAGCAGTCTTTGTTCCAGCCGGTCTCGAGCTAAGATGTCCAAGCGAGCGGAAACCAAGACAATCATGCCTGACACATTTCTTTATGCCGTATGATCCTCTCAGCGCGTCAACTCAGGCGGTGACAACCAGAACTTCCAACTCATTATTCTGACTGTGGCTGAGGCACCATGTAATAGGGCGTAATGCTTCCTAACACTGATCAGACCGGTAATATGGATGGATGACACAAGCATCAAGTAGTGTGAGGTTGTGAACTAGTTTGAGTCAGTCAAGCAAGAAGATAGAGCTAGCACTACCTAGAGTACTACCAGTACGTGCAGCTCAACTTTGTGCAGAACAAGAACAACACCTCAGTTGTATTTTATCTAAAAGTTCTCATGTCGTGTGTATACATGGCACAGCCAAGACAGGACAAGCAAGGGTAGATAAGATTTTGAAAAGAATATTAGGCAATACCAGAATAATGGAGGTGTGTTGGATGTTACTCTGCCATAAAGCAAAATTTAGCACAGAACGTGCATAGCTTCCAGATCATCCTGTGAGGAAAGAACCCCCTTGGAGTTTCTGACAGACGCCTGCTGGTCGATGGAGCCACTCAAGCTGCTATCTGAATGGCTTCCAAAAGCCATAAGGTCATTGCTGCTATTTTTGTATAGTGCGTCTTTGTCGTCCATTGACATCGATGACTCCACACGCTCCCTAGCAACGTCAACCTGTGCAAACATTTGACAAAGCGCCCATGAAGGGGCAGATTGAGCTTGAGCTGATCAACAGGCTGGAATGAAGCACAGGAAGCACACGAAGCACATCTAACGGCCAACATGGGCAAACGAAACACAATCAAAGTCATACCGCTTGTGACCAGTCCATTCTTGCCATGATGACCGCAATACTGATTAGCTGCACGCATGTGCCAATTGTCAGACCCCCCCAGAGACCCTATAATACAAACAGCAAAAATGGGGTACAAAGCAAAGATACAGGAAGTCATTCTCAACTGATGAAGTTAGGTGAGAGCATGGACCCAAGGGAAAAAACCAGTTAGCCTAAGACAGAGGAAAAGGGTTGAGGTGGAGACAAAAGCAAATGACAATGAACACAGGAAAGTGAAGTCCAGGCAAATGTGGGTTCTTACCACACTTCCCAACTTGAGATGGAAGGCGAGTAGTGCAGCAAGTGGGAGACCAAAGAGGTAATATGCTGCGAGATTGGCAACTAGAGCCACTTGCTGGTAGCCTGATCCACGCACAATGCCTGCCAGCAGGAATGGGTATGTGAGAAGTAAGATTGAGTGTGTCGAGGCTGAAGTACATGATATTGAAGGACAACCACGAAATACAGGAAACTAGAAAGGACAAGCAGAACGGAAGCAACAGAGTCACAATACATCATGGAACAACCAAGCCACAGTAAACGAAACTTAACCGTCCCCCAAAACACCTCCAAAAAATACCTGACAAAACAGCATTGACTGCATCAGTGATGACGGATGCAACGAGGAGCGGCATGATGCCAGCAACGAAGGAAATAACTTCAGGGGACGTGGTGAACACACAGCCCCAGGAGGAGCGGACAGTGAGCAAAGCCGAGGAGACAAGCGTGGCCTCAAAGAGCGCCCAGAGCACCCCCACTGTGGCAGCACGCTGGGCTGAGATCTCGTCTCCTGCGCCGAGTTCGTTGGCCACTCTGGTGCTGACCGCCACGCCAAAGCCGTACGGCAGCACAAAGGCCATCACTGACGTGTTGAGACTGAAGGGCAGAGGGAAAGAGGGGGAGGGGCAGAGTGGCACAGGAAGAGAGGTAGGACGAATTGTGGAGAGGGAGGGAGGATGGACCTGGGCGGACAATGATGAGGGCTGTGGGGATGTGACGACACAGTTTCCGTACTACGGGTTTGAGTCTGCATGCTACAGGGGGAACATGTGGGACAAAAAGCTTGGACAAGCGAGCGTTAGGGCGGATAGGGGGTATATCGCGAGATGGCACTCACACAACAGAGAGGCCGGCTACTTGAATGTCAGGGTTAGGCAAGAGGCCGGCGAGAAGTGTGACTATATCGAAGCTCCAATACTCAAGGCTGAGGGAGGGTGGGAGGACAGAGTATAAAAGGCATGGTTGAGTAGGGGACATGTAAGGAACATGTACCAGGCAGAGGAGAAGCCACAAAAGCCACAACACGGTAGGTAGTGTGGGAATTAACCAGAGCGATAAATATAGTGGGAGGACAACGTCAGGTTGTTACTGCGCATCCAGATATGTGCCGTAGCATGAATGGTTGTTCTGCATCCACCCCCTTATCATCCACGCCTTTGCACCCCCCATTCCCCCATTCCCCCATTCCCCCATTCCCCCATTCCCTCCCCGCTCCAGCCCTCCCTTAATACCTTCCCCCATTCACCGCCCCTTCTCCCCCTCATGACGATCACCAACCCACCCGTCACCACAAACGCCTTCCTTCCCCCCCTTTTCTCCCTTGGCCCCCGCTCACACACTCACCGAAGCATGATACAAACATCCAGCCCCCTTCCCCCATCCCCCTTCCCCTCCACCCACACTCATCAAAGCATGATTCAAATGTCACCCCCCTACACAATCACCAGAGCATGATACAAACGTCCCCTCACCCCCCCCCCCCCCCCCCTCCCCCCCCTCTCCCCCCCCCCTCCCCCTCCCCCCCCTCCCCTCCCCCCCCCTCTCCCCCCCCCTCCCCCTCCCCCCCCTCTCCCCCCCCCCTCCCCCTTCCCCCCCCCCCCCCCCCCACACACTCACCAGAGCATGATGGCGGAGGGCAGGGCGAGCTGCAGGAACGGCTCCCAGCCACTAAACGCCTCCATGCTGTACCCGCCCCACGCAGCCTTGGCCACGCCGGTGCAGCGAATGTAGACCAGCAGCAGCACCAGGTCTAGCAGATACGCCAGCGACACGGCTATGGCGGCGCCCGGCAGCCCCCACTGGAGTGTGTGCACGAGCAGGAAGGTGAGGGGGAACTGTAGGAGCACTGCTGCCAGCGCGCATGCCGCCATTGGGAAGGTGACTGACTGGGCTTGCAGGTACCTGCAGGGAAGGGTGTGGGGTTGAATGACGGAGGGGGAGCGGGGAAAATGGTGGAAGGGAGGGATAAGCATTGTGTGAACTGCTATCAAATTCACCATGCCTGCTCTTCTCTCCTCTTTAATTTATAGCCAGTAGCAGGGATAGATCCAGACTCGACCCAAAAGAGAACTTATCCCCCCACCCCAGATCCTCCCAAATCCTCCCCGCCCCTCACCCCTCCTACCCTCCCCACCCTCCACCCCCCCCCCCCCCCCTTTCCATACTCCCCTGCATTGACCTTGAAGTTTGTGGCTATTCAAATGGTTATCGTGATCGGTCGCATATAGCATTGGAATCATGTTTGTGTGCAGGTGTTTAATCCGTGCTCTAGGGTTGTGATTCGGTGGATTTCAAACGAAACCAGAACCTTCTAGACCTAACAACTGAGCCCTAAAACCGCCTCACGACACCCCGTACCCTCTCCACCAATCACCATTCCTCTCACCTTTCCAGGCACTGCATGACGACAGCAGCCGCCAGACTCGGCAGCAGCCAGCGGATGTAAACGGCGCCCAGGGCGGCAATGTCAGGCGACTGCTGCAGGAGCAGCAGCAGCGGCTCGGTGAACCACCAGAGCACGCCGACGGGCGTGGCGACGAGCGTCATGCACAGCAACGCGCGCTGCAGGTGCAGCCCCAGCTGCAGCGGACACCCCGCTCCGAACGCCTGCCCGCAGAGAGTCTCGAGACCGCTGGCTAGGCCTTGCTGCGGGGTGGGGGTATGGGAGGATGGGGGGGGAGGGAAGCGGGGTTGAGAGGAAGGCAGGGAGGGGCAGAGAAATGAATGGGGGCCCAGAAACGAAAAGAAGGGGGAGAAAAGTGGGAACGGTGGGCAGGAGCGGCAGTTGGGCAGGAGAGATGATAGGAGGATGGGAGAGTGTGGGAGCTGAAGCTGTGCGAGGTAGCCCCAGGTGCAGCGGGCACCCAGCGCTGAAGGCCTGCCCACAAAGTGTCGCTCAAGCTAGGCCTTGCTGCGGTGTGTGGTGGATATGGGGGGCAGGGTAGGGAGGGGGACATGGGGGCGCCCAGGAGAAGTGACGGCGGGAGCAGGGGAAGGAGGCAGGGAAGGGGGGAGGGCCGGGATAGAGGAGAGGAAGTTGCGCAAGGGAGAGAGAAGATGGGAGGATGGGAGGGAGAGAGTGGGGGCATGATGGCCAGGAGAGAGGGAGTGACGGAGGAGAGGGAGAGAGTCCCTACCGCGGTGTTCAGTAACCCTCCTTCCACCTGCACGATCTCACAGCACACACCGAGTACCACTAATGTAATCCCCTTAGAATAAGGCCTGACAAGCGACATACGCCCCCCTACCAGCAAAATGCCCCTCTCACTCCCCTCATCAGCAAAACGCCCCTCTCACCAGCAAAACGCCTCTCTCACCAGCAGGATGTGGCCCGTGACGTTGGCGAAGGAGGTGGCGATGGACGCAGCGGCGAGCGGCAGCGGACCCAGGCGACCCACGAAGGCCAAAGGGATGAGCGTCATGAGATTCTGTAGGAGATTCGCCGCCATCATCGGCCACGCCATGCTGGGGGAGGAGGGGGGAGGGGGGGGGGGGAAGAGGGGGGAAGGGAGAGAGCGGGGAATGGGGAGGAGACCACATGGCAATGGTTGACGATGGAGAGAGTACGGAGGCAACTATTGCGTTGACTCAAGACTCGCATGTGAAGGAGAGAGGAGAGCGGAAGGAGCAAGGAACGGAGAGAAAAAGCAGGGGTCATGGTTACTTACGTCACTTGTAACTTTGCTTCCGCCACCATCGCCTCTTTTCGCCAGAGACCGCTCGTCTTCGCCTTGTTCTTCCCTCTGCCTGCCCGCTTCGTTCCGACAAGCGGCCCTACAGCCTTCGCTGCTGCTTCCGCCACTCCGTCCCCCTCTCCCCCCTCCCGCTCCTCCTCCCCATCCTCGCGCTCGTCACTCTCGTCGTCACTCCCGCCGCTTCCGCCGCTCCCTTCCTCGCTCTCCTCTTCCCCGCCCTCCTCTCTCTCCGCACTCCCCTCTCTCTCCTCACTCGAGACGCTCGCGGATCGCCAAATCCACCTGAGTATCGGCCGCCTCTGGCCCTTCCTCTTCCTACCTCGCTCCTTCCCGCCCTCCTCTTCGCAGTCCTCAACCACTCTCCCCGCTTCGTCCACCTTACGCACGGGTATCGACCAGTCTCTCCTTCCCAGAACCGATTCTTCCCCTGCGCCGTCGCCTTCCCCTTCGCTTGCCCCCGTCACCGCTCCGCGACCAGCCACCCCCGCCATCGCCCCCTTCTCCGCTCTCCACCATTCCCGCCCTCCGCTTGCATACTGCCCTTCCCCTCCCCCCCCTGCGCCTCCCCTCTCTAATCTCTCAAGGCTGTTTTCTCCGCTCAATACGAGCCCCGCAGTTGCAGCGGCGGGAGAAGAGGATTCCGCGAGGGAGGCAATTGGGCGCGGGGGAGGGGAAGCGGTGGCGGAACTCGAGTCCAGCAGAGGGGACGGGGGAAGCGCGGGGGAAGCTGGCGCGCACGCTTGCGCGGAAGAACGAGTCGACGGGAGAACAGAGGCTTGTGCGCGGCCGCTCGAGGCTCCTTGCGCGCGGAAACTCACAAAACCAGGTAGTACCCATCTTATAGGTGATCGCGATAAGGGGGAAACCTGCGGGCCGGATCGAGAGCTCGTGCCTTCGGCTTCCGCTATTCCCGCGTGACTCGTTCCACTCAGTAAGGATTCGGTCAACGGATTTGGCTGAGGATCTAGCCGCCATTGATGTATCTGGCTTGTTTCGTGCCGCTCTTCCCTTTGCCCCGGTATTTGCAGCTCGTTGTTCGCGCGCTGCTGCGCCTTTGATTTTCTCCGCTGCTGCTTCGCCTCTCGGACATGCCGCTCCTCCCGATCTTCCTGCTCGTGCTGCAATTGCCTCGTTGCCTGCGACGCGGACGCGTAGTCTTTGGAGGGAAGGACGAGAGGAGACGCGGACGGACGAGGCACGCGAGGCATGGTGAGCTCGAATTAGCGGGCAAATTAAGTGTGACGTTCACTCCACTTTTCACGCCTGGCTGCTAGACCCTCCACCAGCTAAAGACGTTGTACGGGAGACCACCAGACGCAACAGAAAGCTAAGTTGGGCTCTAAGGCTATGACGCAGGTCTTCAACTGCCACGTTGGTTGTTCAGTACAGGACAGAATGTTGCAGAGTTTGGTGCAAGTCTAGAAGCATTCTTGGTGCTGGTGCTTCTGGAAGCACATCAGCTCGCTGCAAGCGACAAGGGGACGGAAGTGATGGAGGGGATATTGGCTCTTGATGGCCCAACGGGCACCCTCCTTCTTTGGCGCTGGTACACCCGGCTCCCACCTACTAAAGGTCGAGGGTCTGATAAACCAGTACCCTTTTCCACGACGGCGCCTCCATAAGCGCTTAGACAAAAGAACCGTACCCAAACTTCGCTTTTCCGGGAGGAGTCCTCAAAGGTCCGCACAACGCTTCCTGTCCTCAAACGTCGCTTTTCCAATCCAGGAAGGTGTGCAGGCTTGCGACCAAAGGTTTTTGGAAGAAAACATTTGGCAACAATCATCACACAACGCTTCCTGTCCCATCCCATTCCCCCCCAACCAGAATCCTGATCTCATTTGCTGGCCCCAAACCTCCACTGTGAGTCTGCGAAACCCTACAGCCTGCTGACACGTGCCAAACCTGAAAGGAAGGCCATTCCCGAAAGTTGAGGCCCAAGAAGGTGTCCTTTCCCCCTTGATGGTTGGCGCTTGACGGGCAAAATGTTTCCAGGGGAACCCCGTTGAAAATGTCAGTTTTTTTCCGACACACATTCCACCCACAATTATTTCGGTTACAGTAAATAATTTTAGTGAGAGAAGCGCGAAGGTCCGATTTGGCTGCTTGATATGGAGGGCGGAGGCGTTTCCAAGGGCAGCGGCATTGTCTGTCCACCCAATTTGGGTGCTCCGTGAGAGAAAATCACACGATCGCGACACGACCACGAGGGCAGCTGGGTTTAGGGGGCGACAATGACGGCGAATATTCTTGTGACGCCAGCTATATCCGCTACAATCACACGAACAAGACCTTTCACGTCAGCTTGGAATTAGTGTACTCGATTTTCTTCCAACAACTATAACCGCTATTTTTTTCATTCTCATCCTCATGTCGCATGAAAGTTTCCAAGACGGATGCATGCACATGAAATATTAATAATCTGTGTCGCCAGAATAACTCAACCGCATATATATAGTAACATGAAAAAAGTTCGGTAGACTGATGGTGCGTGATGGAACACACTCTGATGGTGCCCTGACCGGAATCTCAGCAGGTGTAAGCGTTTGCACTGCCAAACGCTATACGGATAATCCGCAACGTCCTTTGCCGAGTATGCGACTATGTTGCGTGTCTTGATAAATCAATTTGCCCTTGGCCCCTGCATTTTTGTTACCAGATTCAAAGCAGCAAATTAGAAAAAGGCGGAGGGGCGACCAACCACTTCGGTCCGATCTGAATCCTCCAGAAGCTCCGGATAGTCTTCCAATCATATGCTCGCATCCATGGCTCCAACCTTCCTCTGGTCTGTTCTGATGGAATCAGAGGCCGCCAAGCTGGCAGGCCGTGATGCGAACACAGGAAACCTTTGGCCCACTTAGCCCCCCTTTGCCACGCTGGTCTGAGGTCCATCGCATTCCGCTTTTCCCCTCCCCCCACACCCCATCCCCCAATCCACGCATTCTCCTCCATCCTCCCCCTCAACCGTGGCATGGCATGGCAAGCTCCACAATGCAGACCATGGTAAGGGCGCGTTCTGATTTTGAACTGTAAGAGTTGTCGCACTGAAGTCTACTACAGTTCCCACACCGCGAATCCACTGTGCCCAACCTAGCTGCACCGGAAACCGGTAACGATATTTTTGGCACTTAGGGCACGCCCCTAGGACCCCGCTAGCACCATCCTCCCCCCCATCTCCTTACTCCCCAACCTCTCTGCCCCTCTTCGCCCATGCTTGAACACTGCCCTTGCAACATTTCAAGCTACTGTATCGTCCATCCATGCATTTTCTATCATGCACACATTTCCTAGTCCCTGTTTGTCCACCTTACATGTCTGACAGTTGACCAGAGCAACCAGGTGTCAAGCCTAGTTCTCTGTCCCCTACCCACTCCAAGGTGTGGGAGCAACGCAGCTAAGACCGAATCGTCCGAGGCGAGCGATGTGGAACATTAGCTGCTACGCTTCGCGCAACTCACACGCCGTCCCACGCACGGCCCTCGCTCACTAGGCTAGGAACAGCGCACATTTCCCTCCTTCGGGGCTCTTTATTATAATTACATTAGAGGAACCGTAGACAGAGCTTTGGTTATTACATTTTCCTCCAGCTCTTCCCAAAGCAGCCGTTTTCGTGCATCGCAAAACTGCATCTGGCATTTACCTCCGACCATTGTACGGCTGGGATGGCGTCTCAAGCAGCCTCGTTAGGACTCCATTTGCACTGCGATCGCTCCTCCATTCTCCACCCTCTCTCCTCGCCGTCTCCCCAACTTCTTTCGTCTATTCGACCCTTAACTCTTTCGCGAGCCAAAACCCGTCATTCGCGACGTTCGCACGCGCTAGTCGCATGCTCACCGGTAACCAGCTCAGTTGCCAGGCAAACTCGCGCGCTGCTCTCGCCTACCCCGCTGCTCTCTCAGCCAACCCCTTTCAGCCTAGCAGCCGATGCCGCGCTTGCGGTTCTCCCCTCGCGCCTCCTAATCTCTGGGGACCAACAGTCTTTATTACGGGGAACGGTCGGGAAACGGAACCGGCTGTGCGGTGTGCAGCGGCGGGGAGCGGTGCGCGCGCGGAGCTCGTGGCGGGAAGACGGCGCGACGGAGGGCGCGGAGGGCGCGCGGATCAAGGTGGTGGGCGTCGGGGGAGGCGGATCGAATGCCGTGAACCGCATGGTTAAGGTGAGATGGGGGGTTGCAATGAAAAGGAATGGGATGGGTGGGATGACAGGCGGTGGGATGACAGGCGGTGGGACGGGAGATAGCGTGGGTGAATTAGGCAGAAAATTTTGAGACATGATGGTACTGCAAGTTTTAGAAGATCGGCCATGGTTGAATGAACATAGGTTGGCCACGAAGGTGTTGTATTGGGGGAGAAAAAAAGCACGCAAGGGAGGCAGGAAACGGGTGCGTGGAGGGGCGGCGGTGATAAAATAGGGCCAACACTGTGTGGTTCGCTGCTTGGTTTTATCACCAAGAGCCGCCAAGTACGGTGGGTTGTAAGACGAAGTAAAGGCGCACACACCTGGCTTTTTGTCCCTTTTCCTGAGTCAACTTGAAAATTAGTCTGAAACAACGGAACGGGGCATTCGAATCGGGCTTCGGAGCCAAATCACGTGACCAGTGTGATGAACTGACCCAAGTCCACTGGCCTACCGAGCATAAGATAAGATAAGGAATGAACATGCCCACCTTTGCAAGTTCCCTCTGTCACTCTGTTCCCTTTGCAAGTTCTCTCTGACTGCCTATTCTCTACTCTACTGCTCTGTCTTCCCAGAGAGGTGATCGCTGCAGGTTGCCCCGTTATACCCTACAACTGTCTCCTCGTTCCTGTGTCCGTCCATCACCCCTCCCTTTCCTTGCCCCGCCCTCCCTTCTCGCTTTACCTTCTCAATCTCACGTTTCCCGTTGCCGCATTCCCCTCTCCACCCTTCCCTCCGCCCATTCACTTCCCCCCTCAACATCCCCCCTTCCCCCCCCCCCCCACTCCGCCCCCGCCCTGTACCACGTGCGGGAAGTTCGCACTCCGCTGCTCCGTTTCTTGCCCCAATTTCTTTCATTTCATCCGTGTCCGCACCGTCTCACCCTCTCACCCTCTCGCCCTCGCACCCTCCGACCCCTCGTGCATAACGCCATGCCTGGCCTTGTGCACGAGCCATCACCGTCCTTCATATCCCCGTCCTCTGGACACAGCCAGCACCTCCAAACCCTCTTGCCCTTCCCTATTTGCTCTCCCTCTCTTCCCACCTCCTCATTTCCTGCCCCATTCCCTCCCTCCCTCCCTCCCTCCCTCCCTCCCTCCCTCCCTCCCTCCTGCCATCCCGTCCTCCCACCATCCAATTCACACCCTCCAACCCCCCTCCTTCTCTCCTGCCCTCCCTCCCTCCCTCTTTCCCACGATCCAATCCAACCCCCCCAACCGCCCGTCCACCCCTCCCAGAGCGGCATGCGCGGCGTGGAGTTCTGGATAACCAACACGGACCGCCAGGCCATGGCGCTGTCGCCCGTGGACGAGCCCCACCGCCTGCAGATCGGCGGCGCGCTCACGCGGGGGCTGGGCGCGGGGGGCAAGCCCAGCATCGGGGAGCGCGCGGCGGAGGAGAGCCGGGAGGGGCTGCAGAACGCCGTGATGGGCGCTGATATGGTGTTCGTCACGGTGAGTGGAAGTGTGGGGGTGGGAGGGGGGGGGGGAGGGGTGGTTAGACGTCTCGAGTTCTTAGACGACTCAAACTCAAAACATTCTGAGATTCGTCTCAACACTCGATGTGATGGGCGCTGCGCTGACATGGTGTTCGTCACGGTGAGGGGTGGGGGGTGCGGGCTTTGGGAGCGGGGTTTGTTGCGCTGTGAGAGTGCGGCTGTGTGTGCTGTAAATCGATTGTCTTTAACTCCCTTGTTGCTCGTCCCTCTCCTCACCCCGCTTCCCGAAATTCAATCCTTTCCAAGCCATGTCCGAGTCTCCCCTTACTCACTCACGCTCAACTCTCCCGTTTCCCATTCCCCATGCCATCAGTTTCCCTCTTCCCTCTGCTCCCTTTCCTCTCCCCTCGTCCTTCCCCTCTCCCTCCCTTTGCCCCTCCCCATCCACCTCCTTCTCCCAACTCCCCACTCCGCCCAACCCTCCCACCCCCACCTTCCCCCTGACCTACCCCCCCACCTTTCCAGGCGGGCATGGGGGGCGGAACAGGCAGCGGGGCAGCGCCCGTGGTAGCAGAGATTGCCCAAGCCCTCGGTATACTCACAGTGGGCATAGTCACGCTCCCCTTCACGTTCGAGGGGCAGCGGCGGCGCGTGCAGGCGCTAGACGCAGTGGCGGCTTTAAGACAGCACGTGGACGCGCTTATAGTGATTCCGAATGACCGCCTGCTGGAAGCAGTGGACAAGAGCACGCCTATTAACGAGGCGTTCACTCTCGCGGATGATGTGCTGAGGCAAGGCGTGCGCGGCATATCAGATATTATTCAGGTGGGTGGGTGCGCCAGGTGGGTGCTCCAGGAGGGGTGCGTGGGTTTTGTTTCGAAAGGGCTGCTTTTTTTGGCATGGTTGAGATAGAGTGTGAATCTCTGGGCTCTCTGCCGCCCTTCGCTTCCCCGCCTCCTCCCCAACTCCCCCTCTCCACCTCCCCCCTCCTCACCTCACCCACCCCTGCTTCCTGCGTTTGTGCCGTATGAAGCACGGGGGATTGTGGCACCGCTTTGTTGCATGATTGTCTTGTTTGATCATTCATCAACCTGTGTTTGCTTTCTCCCTCCAAATCCCCACCTCTCCCCCCCTCCCCCTCCTCCGTCCCCTCTCTCTCTTCCTCTCTTTCTCCCCCCTTTCCCCCCCATCCCCTCTCGCTCCTCTCTTTTTCCCTCCGCACCCCCACGTCTGTACTCTCTCCCTCCCTCCTGCCTCTCTTTTTCCCCCTCCAACTCCTCCCTCTTCCTCCTTCACCCTCTCGGCCCCTCAGGTCCCTGGGCTAGTGAACGTGGACTTTGCGGACGTCAGAGCAGTCATGGCCAACGCCGGCCCATCCCTCATGGGCGTTGGTGTGGCGCAAGGTACGCCTTACACCCGCCCGTTGTTTGCTGCAACCTGCATGTGTGCATCTGTGTATGTGTGGATGTGTGCATGTGAGCATGTGTGCATATGTGCATGTGTGCATGTGTGCATGTGTGCATGTGTGCATGTGTGCATATGTGCATTTGTGTATGTGTCCATCTGTGCATGTGTTCATGTGTGCACCCATGCACCAGCGAACCAATGCGCTGCCAAACCATGTCTTCTGCTACGCCTCCCACGTGGTCCACTACTGCACCCTCCTCGCTCTCCCTTCCCCAGGCTGCCCTTTCTCCCTTGCTGACCCATTGCCATCTCTCATCCTCCCATCATCCCCATCCATCCATCCTCTGCAAATACCCCCCTCCCCTTCTCTTTCCCCCCCCCACCGCCCGCCCTTCCCCATGGCGGCACCGCACGGCAGGCAAGGACCGCGCGCGCAAGGCAGCGCTGGGAGCCATCCACTCGCCGCTGCTGGAAGTGAGCATAGAGCGCGCCACCGGCATCGTGTGGAACATTACTGGACCCCCCGACATGACGCTGCTTGAGGCAAGCTGCTCCCCGCCCTCATGCCCTCTGCTCCCTGCCCTCATGCCCTCTGCTCCCTGCCCTCATGCCCTCTGCTCCCTGCCCTCATGCCCTCTGCTCCCTGCCCTCATGCCCTCTGCTCCCTGCCCTCATGCCCTCTGCTCCCCGCCCTCATGCCCTCTGCTCCCTGCCCTCATGCCCTCTGCTCCCTGCCCTCATGCCCTCTGCTCCCTGCCCTCATGCCCTCTGCTCCCTGCCTTCATGCCCTCTGCTCCCCGCCCTCATGCCCTCTGCTCCCTGCGTTTTTTCTCACTCTCACTACCACCAGCAGTCATCCACAACACTCCCTCGGCACTCCTCACCTCGTGTCTCCTCCTCTTCCTTTCCACGGATTGCTTCCCAACAAGCACGCGTGCTCTATCCTTACCCTCCTCCTTCACTTAACTTTTCAGCACCATCTCCTACCCTACCACCCTCTTCACACCCCCTCTCATCCACTCACTACCCTTGCTCCCCTCCCATACTCCCTCTTCCCCTTCCCCCCATGTTTCCCTCCACCTCTCGTCCCCCCGTCCCCGCAGGTGAATGAGGCGGCGCAGGAGATCCACCAGCTAGTGCACCCGGACGCCAACCTCATCTTCGGTGCTGTCGTTGATGAGTCCATGGCGCCCAATGTACGCCCGCTTTCACCCCGTGCCGTCAATGCTGTCGCGTACTGTCGTACCTACACTCTGTCGCGAAGTGTTTTTTTCTGCCTGTTGGCCTGTTGGGGTGTCTCAGTAGTCTGTGCTTGATGCTGCTGTCTGCATTTCTCTCTGGGTGCTGCCCGTGTGAGTGTTTGTGTGCGCTTTCTCCTGGAGTTGGTGTGCACTCGTGTTTGCACATGCAGAGCGGATTGGCACGTGTTCACCTCTGTATGCGTTTCTAACCACCTCTTTTTCGACCCACACATCCCCTTGTCCCACCTGCAGGTCAGCATCACGCTCATTGCCACCGGCCTTCAAGAGCCCGGCTCACAAGTGAGTCCAACGCTAACCCCATGCAAGCTAGCGCTCCTGCTGGACATATATGTTGCCCTTTGCAGTAATGTAGTGTGATCGACGATGAACCTCTTACTTCCCCTTTGCCCCCCCTCGTGTTCTCACTCCCTCTCACTCGCTTCCCTTGCCCCCCTCTCTCTTTCTCTCCTCCTTACCTCCCCCCTTTTTCTCTCTCTCAACTCCACACATCCTCCCAGGCCGAGCTCCCAGCGTCAGCCAGAGTGCTAGGGAGCCGAATGCCCTTCCCCCCCCAGCAGCAGCAGCAAGCAGGGCAGATGCGGCAGCAGCAGCCGTACACACCACCGCTGCCCCAACAGCAGCCGGGTCCAGCCTCCCCTCCACCCATCCCAGACTTCCTCAGGCGACGCTCCCGAGGCCTCTAGGACTCCTCACTCTGCCCTCAGCTCGGCCTTTTGTGAGGAGTTTAGGCATCCCAGTAGATTGTTAAGGGGAGGAGGGGGGGGGGGGGGGTGTAAGTGAATCCAAAGGGTCTTGCGAGCCCTGTGAGGCTGGTGTACGTCACCCGAGGGGTGTATTTAATGGTTCGAGCTGGATTCTTCAGTCAGTGCGCTATGTAGTATGTAGCCACAATTTTGTAGATGCAGGCTATATTGTGAGAGGCAGAGGATCTCTCTGGTTTCATGTGGAGGGTTAGGCATCCCAGTAGATTGCTGAAGGACTACTAGATAGGGATCCATCTGTGGAAAGGTGTCGTCATGTGCCCTGTTTCCTCCTCTCAACCGCTCCTCTCCCCCCTCCTCTTCCCCCCCCTTTCACCTCCCCCCTCTCTTGCTTCCTCCCTCCCCCTCACTCCCTCCCTATTTTTCCCTCCCCCTTGCCCCCTGCCTCCTACCGCTGATCCCTCTTCATCATCACCCTTCCTTCCCTCCACCGCCCCAGCAATTCCTCAGTACTGGGGCTCTGAGGAAGCCTTGCTCCATGGCGCAGGGGGAGGGGACATGCATGTTAGTGTGCACTGTCCACATGCTAGCTTGACCCTGCTGTGTGATAGATGTTCCCATACCAGTGCATTTTGTCATGGTGCTTGCTCACTCCATGCTGGAATAAATCCAGGTACCGTATCATATTTCTGTGCTTCAGAATCTACAGAAAAGGCATACTGGTAACTGGAGCAAGACTGCACACGCAAGGAAACGGGAGGATCCGGCTAACCACAAGCAGGGGGTAGACCGTAGAGTAGATGTCAAGATAACAACAATCATGTTGCTGCTGCTGTATGGGTAGAAATGAGAAACGTTCTGGCCAGTAGAAAGACACAGAGAAGCATCTGCCTGGTGGGGATCGACATACTGCCATGGAGAACACTGCTATACTTTGCCAGTCTAGCACAGGCTGCTCCCTTGACATTTTGCAAGCAGAGAACATTGGCCACTTCCACAATAAGCACATTTGTGTTCCAACCTTGGTACACAACCACAAACAAGGGCAAGCGACACACAAAATAATCTGCTTCCACTTGAATAAGCTCCTGCCTAAACGCTGTTGCAATCTCAGATGCTGTAGCACAGAGGTCATGAACAGCCACTCTCGATATAAGGATGTCAGAGCAAATGTGTGAATACCTATTTCTGCATTAGGCATTGGGAAAGGGGAAAGAGAGAGAACAAGGAAGAACGGACAGACAGTTGAAAGCAGGCTACAGTTGCAGCAAATCAGCAGCATAGAGAGACCAAGGGTTGGGAAAAGTGAGCGAGACATGGTACGAAATGTACCGCAGGAGAAACAGCTAGGAAGAGTGCAGGAATCGAATGTGGAGAGAAGACTAAGAAAAAAAAATGTTGTCAAACGTTCCAGTTCAGACTTTGGCACGAGACAGGTCAGCACTCAGACATGGAGTAGAGCAGCATAGGAACACGTGGAGGGTCAAGATGGCGTTCGGCAGAAAAGTAACTTAAAGAGGGGGACGCCATCCTGGCTTGGGACCTGATTATTGTGGATCCATGGGAAATGCTACTGACCGAAGAGCAGCTAAAGACGAGCTAGGAGCAAGCGTTAATACAAGACATTACAAGGCGAGGAAAGGCGGAGAGCCGGGTAGAAGTTGAGAAAAGCACGTGAGTCGTGACTTGTCATCACATCGCACCAAGAACACCGAAACCCTAATCGATCAACACATCCTAAGACGCTCACTTTGCAATCCCCAACTAACGGGTTCAAAAGGTTTCAGCCAGAAACCGCCTCGCCGGAACAGGAAGAATCAGCGGCAAAGCAGAGCCTGTTCGCAAACAGTCGCACAACGCAACGGAGAAACGGGAAACTGAAGCAGGAAAGCAAGCGAAGCGAGCATCTCACGCACCCGCTGGAAATCGCACGGACCCGCTGCGCCGCGCTCAGTGGTGTCCGCCTCCCTCCTTCTCCGCCTCCGCGTGGCGCATGTGGCGGAGCTCCGCCGGCCACCCGATAGCGTAGCTCAGCACGCCGACGCCAGACATGACCTGGAACAGCGGCTTGGGGCTGCTGGTGATGATATACTTGCGGTGATACTCCTTAAGGAACCGCGTCGACTCGTTCATCACGTTGTCGTATGTCGCGACGCTCTTAACGAAGCTCGGAACCTCCTTCAGCTTCAGACCCGCCACCTGGCGAAGGAAGTGCTGCAGGTTCGACATGGCGTGAGGGGGATCGTGCGAGGAAGACTGAGAGTGGGGCGATGGGGGGGTGACGATGGCGAAGCGGATGGATCAGATGCGATGAGAAGCGGGGAGGGAGCAGCAAGCGCTGACGCGGGCGGAGGTGGTGGAAGTGGTCGATGGCCGATCGACCTAATCGGCGGGGAATGCGGAGGGCGATGGGGGGAAGCAGATCCGAGGAGGAACTGCCAGCAACGGTCGCAAGCAACACTGTTGCGGAAACACCAAAGCAGCAACAGCCATGATGTTCAGCGTGCGAAAGCTTGGCGAGAAGGCGAGATGGTGAAGTAACAGTATGTGGGCTGCGCGAAGAGCTGCAGACTTCGTCGGTTGCAGGCGTTACGTGAAATCTACGTGTAAACGACCAATTATGGCGTCAAGAAAGATGGTGAGTTGTACATTAGAGTTGACATCCATCACAACAACCATCACTATGCCAGCCGTCAACTCTACTAAGCTGACAAAATGTCACAAAACGTGGCATGCAGATCGTATACACTTCTTAAAAACCCACGTCTTAATCGTACACCCAACATCCATGGCAAAGCTAGTGTCACCACATCAGCCATCCAACCTAATATCCTCCACCTTCCACCCCTCATGTGCTAAGGTGGTCTTCGACAAAGTCGGGGTTCTTCCGGAGAATGACATACCCCTCTAGCACAGAGGAGAGTGGAATGTACCTGCAGCAGAGGTGGAGCAAAGGAGGTTACATGGCACGGCAGCGCAAAAGAGTGGACGCAATGTCAGACATGGAAATGATCCTCAATGCGACAACAACGCACATCAAGATCTTGGCTGGGGAAACACAGACACACAGACAAGCATGCCAGCACGCATTACAATATGCTGGATACCATTCACGAGTGTGTAAGACCAGTGTAAAAATGTGGCGCTTACTTGTCAGTGGCGAGCTCTGCTCTGTCGCCCGTGGCGAGCAGCACCGGGGTGGTGTGCGTTTGGAAGCCCGTGATGGTCTTGGGCCGCCCTGCCTGCCCAACCACGTCCACCGCCTGACCCACGCGCACCGGCACTGACAGTGGCTTCAGATCCTCATCAACAGTCAGCAGCATGCGTGGCTGCAGGGGCGGATGGGGTTGGGGTTGGAGGGGAAAGGGGAGGGGGTAGGGGGAGGGGGAGGGGAGTAGGGGGCGAGAGCAGCAGGAACGAGGAGAGAGTTCAGGTGAGCATGGGGGGGCAGGGAAGTGCAGGGCAAAATGAGGGAGGAGGCGTTGCAGCGTGCAGAAAAGCAGAGCCTGGAACATGGAGCGAGGCAGGTGGCAGCATACCTGCATGGCGGGCACGATGTAGTAGAGTGCATAATGGTAGCGGTGTAGGATGATGCCCTTGATGTCCAGACAGCTGTGCAGCAGCGCTGCCAGCCCCGCCAGAGCCACACTGGGAGAAAGGCATAGGAGGGCACAAAGAGGGGAAGGGGCAGTGCAAAAAAGAGGAAAGGAGAGAATTTTTGAGTCGACTAAAAAATAACTCTTTGAGTCGACTAAAAAATCACCGAAGGAGAGAACAGATACGGAGAGCAGTGGAATGAGTCGATTTTTTAGTCGACTAAAAAATCGACTCATTACAGGCGGAAATCAGGAAAAAGGCAAGGCAGCGGCTCAAGTGCGAGAGGTGACAAGGCGCAGGCTGAGGGGATGCAGCAGCAGCATTGATGGATACTGCAGCAGATTGTGAAGGAGAGGGCGAAAAGGGCACAGCTCCAGAGTTGTGGTGGCAGGAGAAGGGATGGCAGATGCGGAGTTGCGGGGTTGTGGCAGTGGCAATGGCGGTGGAGCATACTTGGAGCAGAGGAAGCGGTCGGAGTGGTAGGGGTTGAGCGTGAGCAGACCCTTCCCCAAATGCACAAGACCCTGGGCTATGCGCACCTGCAAGGCACACGGAGCACGGGGCACAGAGAGGGGAGGACGGAGAGGAAGAGGCGGTTTCGTAAGACGGTAGGGCAAGACGAACATGGAGGGCGAGAGCAATTGCAGAGCAGGGAGAGGCGAGGTCAAAAGAAAGGAACGGGGTCATAAGGCAAAGGAGAAGGGGGGAAAGAGAGGGGGGGAGAAGGTATGTGAAGGGAGGGAGGCGGAGTGGGGGCATACGCAGAAGAGGACGGTTGGGTCCTTGTAGTAATAGGAGGAGAGGTTGCGCAGCATGCCGGCAATGCGCGCGTTGTTGGTGCCCGCGCCTATCAGACCCAGCGATAGGGTCGCACCCTGTACCATGAACAACAAGCGACACCATTCCATCACACGGAGTGACACAGAACCACACCGCACCACAGAGAACCCCTTGAATCCAGAGTAAAGGTGGCCCAGCAAGGAGACGATTGAGCAGAGGGGCTCAAAGCATTTGAACTGCCGAAGAGGAGGAACGAGGGAGGGGGAGAGGGGGGGAGGGAAGAGAAAACAAGGGCCATAGCATCCAGGGAGAGCAAGGGACGATAGTGTGTTGGTCTAGTTGGTCTAGAATGACAAGTGCACGTCACATTGTGTGTGCAGGTCACTACCACACGGCTATGCATCTCACCATGGCGACTTCAGCATCGCTGTCGTGTGTTAGCCGACCCAGCGTGTCCATCACACCCATCTGCCAGGGAGGGAGACGGGTGACATGGCGGTGCCATGGGATGAGTTCCACATGCATCAGACACACATCCAGGGCACAGCAGCAGGAGAAGAGGCCGGGGAGGGGATGGCGGAAGGACGACGGAGAGGGGCAAAATGAAGGAAGTAAGAAAGGGGGGCTGGGAGGGGGGAAAAAGGTGGCAGATCTAGGCAAGAGAAGTGGGAATGAGAGAGCGAGAGAGCGAGGTAACAAGACATGCAAGTCTCACCCGTGGATTGGAGATGGAGAGAAGCCCCAGGGCCAGCGGCACCGCCCTGCGCACACTGGCATCACCGTACTGCAGCAGATGCTCCAGGCTGCGAATAGCCATGTCCGACCCCAGCTCCTCTGCTATCGCCACCATTGCTATCCCCAGCACTGCCGCTCCCTGCCCGAACCCCGCCTTCACTGCTGCACTCCCGCTGCTGCTGCCCGCTGCCGCTCCTGCTCCTGCAGCAGCAGAACCGCCTGCTGCTGCTGATCCTGCTGCTCCTGCTGCAGTGGCGCCACCTGCTGCTGCTGCCCCTGCTGCTGCTGGTGCTGCTGCTGCGCCTATGGCTGCTGCTGCTGCTGCCTCTGTGGACGCGCTACAGAGGGCGAGCATTTGTTGCACCTGGAGGGATGTGCCGAGAGAACGAGGGTGCAATGAACACGGGAAGAAACGACGGCCAACCAAAGTGCAATGGAAGCTAGTACTGAGGAGAAATTAAAGGAGCAGGGAACCGGGAAGAGAGGGGATTGCAGAGATGGTGTGTGCAGGGGCGGCAGGGTGGGGGAAGGGGAGACGGAGAGAGTGCAGAGGGGCACAGGCATCGATCGGCCATGCGTTAAGCTCCAAGAAGCCAAGTCACAGAAGGCCATGCCGCACCTTGAGCACATTCCCAGTGCCAGCATACGCGCACGCCTCCAGCGTAACCTGGCAGTAACTCGACACTGCCTCATTGAGCGTCTTGGCCACCTCAACCGTCGCATCCACTGCCTCCTGTTGCCCCAGGAACAGCAGACCCAGCCCCAGGCACAGGTAGCGCGCAAGCGGCTCCGAGAGCTCGGTGTCCCGCTCCATGAGAGCAAGGATAATGGCTTGGGCAGCGTCCTCGTTGCAGGAGGACACGAAGACGAGGCCCAGCGCTAGGGCCGCGTTGCCCGCCACGTCGATGGGCGTCTTGGTGTCCGTGACCACTGGGGCGAGCAGCGCGAGGACCTGGTGGGGAGGGATGGGTGGAGAGGGTGGGTGGGAGGGGGGGATAGGATGTTGGCTACGGGAGCTTGTGGGTGATGGGCGAGCTAGAGGCGAGAAGCAGGGCAGAGAGAGGGTAGGGGAAAGGAGAGGGGAGAGAAAAAGAGCAAGGGTATGAGATGAGATGCAGTGGTGCATAACAGGGGCACGCACCTCCTCCTTGCAGGTGCCGGCGTATGCGAGGCCCAGACCCATGATGGCGCCGATGCGGATGGTGGGGTCGTCCTTCTCCACACTGTCGCACAGCAGCGCATACGCCTGGTGCGCCAGCCATGCCAAGCCATGCCATGCCATGCCATGTCATTCCATGCACGCAGTATCACGCAGGAAGGAAAGGAGGGAGAGGGGGAATGGGGCGAGGAGCGCAGAAAGTTGGGTGGGGGGGTGTCATTAAGCGGATTGGTAGGACCGGGTTCATGGAATTAAATGACGGCTCAGAACTGCTGTTGAACAGGAGCAGGAGAGGTGAGCGCGACGAGAGATAAACCAAGAAACAGAATGAGGGAATTGTGTAAGAAGCAGCTTACCGGGTCGCACTCGTTGCGCACGCCGCAGTTGACAATGCCCACGGCGAGCAGAGCGCCCGCAATGATGTTGTTGTCGTTGGTGTACAGGTACTTGTCGATCTGCGGTAGCCCCCCGTCCACGTCCCACTGCACAATCATGCCCTGTTAGCACGGCGGGGGGTGGGGTGGGGGAGAGAGAGGAGAGAGGGGCAACAAGGCACAACAAGAATACTTCAGATGAGAGGGCTGCAGCAAAGCAGCCATACAAGGACCAAGAAACTAACCATGGCGGTGCTAACTATGGCGGGCTTTGCGAGGGGAATTGAGCCCGGCTGGTGTGGCTGTTGAGCATGTATCACTGACCAGGCTGGCCGTGGCGCTGACTTTCCCATGCTCCTTGTTCTTAAACAGCCAGCTGCCGGCTGCCGCACTGCTGCCCTCCCCGCCTGCCGCCGTGAGCAGCTTGTCCTGCCCGAACCCCGCGTTCACGAAGGCGTTCACGAACGTGGCTGCGAGGTTCTGCCGGGCGGAGTCCAGCGTGGACGCCTGCGATGCACGCCCGTCTATCAGGTGCGCCTGTGGGAGGCGGCGGAAGGGAGGGCAGGGAAGAGGAGGGGGGTGACTGTAGGTGTTGGAGCAGGTGGCGCGAGAAACGGAGGGAGAAACGGCGTGCAGTGAAATCACCCTTACCTTGTAGATGTCTTCTGGCAGCTTGGGCTCCATGACGTCCAGGTCCCGGGCGAGCGTGAGGTAGCCCTCGCACAGGCGACCTTAGAATCGGCTCTAAAGATGCGAGGGGGACGGGGAAAAGAGAAGGTGTCACACCGGCGTGTGTCAGTGCCAGCCCCCCCCACTTACCTTGTAGATGTCTTCTGGCAGCTTGGGCTCCATCACGTCCAGGTCCCGGGCGAGCGTGAGGTAGCCCTCGCACAGGCGCGTGTTGCACATTATCTCCTGCAGCGCCTCCCGCTCCTCGTCACTCGCCAGCTCCGGCTCCTCCTCCAGGTTCAACACAAAGCCCTGCGATGGAAGGCAGATTCGAGAGTTAGGTCTGAGCCGCAGGGCAACAGATTCCCACCAAGCCCTGCAATGACGCCCACACCTCCTGCTCCTCGTCACTCGCCAGCTCCGGCTCCTCCTCCAGGTTCAACACAAAGCCCTGCGATGGAAGGCAGATTCGAGAGTTAGGTCTGAGCCGCAGGGCAACAGATTCCCACCAAGCCCTGCAATGACGCCCACACCTCCTGCTCCTCGTCACTCGCCAGCTCCGGCTCCTCCTCCAAGTTCAACACAAAGTCCTGCAGGTTTAGGAGACAAGCGCACAGGACCAGGCGAGAGTGTGGAGATGGGAGCAGAACAGGTTCAACATGGCCTCCTGCTCCTCGCCACTCGCCCGATCCAGCTCCTCATGCAGATTCAACACAAAGCCCTGCGAGGGGGTAGTAGCATGGCGCAGGGAGAGGGCAGAGACACGGGCCACAGGTTCAACATTAAGGTATGCAGTTATTCCCTCCCCTCCTCACTTGCTAGCTCCTGCTCCTCCTCCTCGAGTTTACAACTCACGCAAGGGTATGGTTGGGCTTAAAACGGAGGCTGGGGGGAAGGGGAGAGAGTAGGGGCGCGGCAAAGTGGGAACGTGAGTATAGATGAGATGTGTATAGCGGAGTGGGGGAGAGGAGGAGAGAGGGGAGTTTGGGATACTGATCACCAGGTTATGGTACAGCAGCAGACAGGGCAGATCAGGCGCAAAGGATACGAAGAGGAGCAGCAAGTGAGGCAGCAGGGGGCGTGGAATGGAGGGAAGGAGCAGCAAGCGCGCAGTATGCATGGTTACCTGGCGCGAGAGGAGGTAGGCGAGCTGCTTCTTCTCCAGGCCCTCGGCTGCTGTGAACGTCTCCCGCACAGACTGACACACATGGACGCATGGATCAGGCACGGAGCAAACACACAGATTCAGGTCACACGCTTCGTGGACTATAAAACGTGTATTTAAAGCAAGCAAGACAGGATGATTTGGAGCAGCTAAGGGAGCTGAGAGCAGAGAGAGCAAGGGGAATACATCGTCAGAGAAGCCCAGGGAAGAAACAGCGCCCCACCTGCGGGCGGTTCATGCGCAGGGCGACTCTGAGCGCGTCCAGGTACTTGTTGACCTTGCGGTACACCCGGTACGCCACCTCCAGCACCACCATGTCCTCCGGCTCTGGCACGTAGCTGGGGGGGGAGAGGGGGAGGGGTGGGGAGAGAGACAAGGGGCGTGGGGATACCAATGGTGAGCCAGCTCCCAAAGCGCCTTGATCACGATACGCCACCTCCAACACCGCCGTGTGCTCCGGCTCTGGCACGTAGCAGGGGGGGGGGGGGGACGGGGGGGGGAGGGGGAGAGATGGAGGAGAAGGAGACGCGGAGGGGGGGAGGAGAGGAGGGGGGCACGAATTGGAAATTTATGAGACGGAAGGAGGAGCGAGATACCTCGTTCGATGGGGAATCGAGATAGGTTAGGAGCAGGGAGTGGAAGCGGGGAGCAAGGCTCATAAAAACAGAAGGGAGGTGTGAAGGAGGGAGCGAGGAGCACGCGCACCTGGCACAGGCAGTAAGATAGAGGCAGGTTCGAGCGTAGTTCTGTGGACCGATGTGCTCTACAAGCATGTCCAGGTGCTCAACCTGGGGGAGAGAGAGCGGGAGAGAGAGAAAGGACGAGGGAAGGGGAGAAGGGAGAGGGGCGATTCTGAAAGTGCCAATTCAGCTGAAACCTTTACAGTAACACAAGGTGAAAGGCAAGGAATATATTAGAGAGCACGCAAGCAGTGGATTTGAAGACTAGGAGTGAGAGGAATGGCGACCGCGAGAGTGAGAGAGGGGGTAAAGGAGGGGAAGCAGCCCACCTCCATCAACAGGTCAACGGCCTCGGGCTCCGCATTGTGCTGCACAGGGAGAGGGGAGGATAACACGCAACACGCAACATGCAACATGCAACATGCAACATGCAACGTGCAAAATGCAACATGCAACATGCAAAATGCAACATGCAACATGCAACACGCAACATGCAACATGCAACATGCAACATGCAACACGCAACATGCAACACGCAACATGCAACATGCAACATGCAACATGCAACACGCAACACGCAACACACAACAGGCGACAGGCGAGAGGAGAGGCACGAGGAGCGAGTCAGCCAACAGAGCGAGTCGTTGAATAAGCAACAGAAAATAACCAGGATGCATGTGACGGTCAACGCACAGGTGGGGGGAAGAGTGCGCAGGGAGGGCAGCGGGGGGAGGAGAAGGGAAAGGGAAAGGGGAAGCGGAAGGGAGCAAGGGGGAGAGAAGGACGAAGAGAGCATGCGAGAGCAGAGCCGATGATGGCGCACCTCGACGTGGAAGGGAACGATCTGCTGCACGAGGCCCATGAGGTCGTCCACGGGCTTATCCTCCGCCTGCCGCAGCTGGTACTCCACGCCTATCTCCCCCGCAAGGTTCCTGCGCAGCACACACAGCGCCAGCACATCACACACACACACACACACACACACGAATTGCAAAGGCTTTAGGGGAGAGAAACCGGTCCATACAGGCTACGGCCATATGCGTTCTTTCTGAAAAAACTGAAAAGGAAGCTACATTGGCAGCGGATCATTTCCGGGGAGCAGGGGAGCAGGGCGTTACCGGACGTATTCATGACCCCAGGAGCCGAGGTCCTCTGTGGATCCCAACAGACGGTACTTGAGACTCTCCTGCTCCACAGGCAGCAGTACCACGGGGGGAGAGAGAGAGAGCGAGAGGAAAATGAGCCAAAACGCATTTCGGAAGCAATTGAGCAAGGGGAAACAGGGTAAAAGGAGGGAGCGAACGGAGGATACGAATGGCACAGGCATAGGAGCAAGGGGAGGGGAGGACGCACCCTGGCTCCATCCTCGGACATGGTCATGGCCAGCACTGAGATGACGTCCGCGATGAGGCTCTGCACGGCCAGGAGAAGCAAACGGTGATGAGCCAACGGTACAACCGAATTTCGAACCAAGTGAGGGGGAGCAGCAAGTGAGGGAGAAGCCCAAAGGAGGGCAGTGGACGGGAAGAGGAGGGAGAAGTCAATGCAGGTACGTGACATGCAGGGAAGGGCGGGGCAGGGCAGGGAGCGGGACCTGGTTTTCGGGGTGCACAGTGTCGTATGAGGCCTTGAGCAGCGCGTAGTGCGGGCGCAGGAACTTGAGCGGCTTGGGTACGGACGTCATGGAGCTCGTGGCCGTGCGGATCTCCTTGCTGCGCGGAAAACAGGGGGGAATAGGGATAGGGATAGGGATAGGGGGAGCACAGGCACGTCGCACGGATGCATGCGGACATGTGAGCGGGTAGACGCATGGGTGCGCACGTGCACACGTGGAGGAAGGCACACGGCCACGTGGGTGGAATCCCGCGGACACGTGGACGAGGAAGCACTCAGTCGGGCACGGAAGCACAGCCGCGTAAAGCGGAAACAATAGAAGCTTTGAGCATCGAGATTAAAACCCTCCCTGAGGCTCACGCTCTGCTCACCGCATGCTCTCGAGCGCTAGCTTCTGCACTCCGGCCTCCGTGTCACTGAGTCTCTCCACCATGAGGTCCAACGCCTGCTTCAACGCCAAGTCCTCCTCCGACTGCCATGGGGTAGACACACGCGCGCACACATGGAGTAACACCAGCAACACACGAGCAACACGCACCGCACACACAGACCATAAGCCGCTGTCAGGCACATCCACCGCTGGGTTGACCGGACGAACGACGCTGAACAGATGCACGCAAGGCCCGGTGACGTGGAATCAGATAGCGCTGCTACCCGCACAGCTCACTACATGACCAGACGGCGGCCGAGTAACGGAGATCTGCGCTGTCGAAAAACGAATTCCGTTACTGAACGTGGCCCCGAAAGCCGAGCAAGATAGCCGACCGTTCCGTGACGTACTCGAGCCACAAGATGATTAACATCCTGGCACAGCCATGACGTGCGACCTACTACACCACTGAAACTCCCTCGCTCCTCGCGCCGTGGATGCAGATGCAGCCGACATCCACCTTATAAGAGACACTGAATCCTAAAGGAGACGGATCTTCGCGACCGCCGACGAGGACTGGACCCTAACAAACCCAAGCTCCAACCAATCCTGCAATTGGGCCCAGAATTAGTTTGCGTCCCGTACACGCAACCACGAGAGCGGACACCGGGAAAATCTCCCAGACCACAGAAGTCTCACACAAGATCCTGCGATCTGTTGCGATCTTAGACGCCATACCAGCGATCTAGTTCCCCTGCGGAGTTAGCCGCCGTACCAGCTCATCCTGCTTCTTCTCTTCCTTCTTCTTCTTGGCGTCCTTCGATGCACCCTCCTTCTGACCCTTCTGCTCCTCCTTCGTACCGGCCACCTTCTCCTCCTTCTCCTTCTCCTTCTTATCCACCGCCATTGCCGCAGATCACGGCCTGCTCAAGGAGGAGACGGAATTCAGAACATAGGGTAAGACTCGGTCGGAAAAGCTGGGAAAACCGACCCTGCTATTGAAAACTTGTGAATAGCTGGCTTTAGAAACTGATGAAATTCCAGGTATACACTAGGCAAGGCAAGTGTAAAAACGCCGTCGGTTAAGGATAAGGCAGATCGAAGCTCGAACGCTAAACCGCACGAGGACATCTGGAACCGCACACGTACTCAAAGGGCAGACGAGAAAGCGGATCGACGGAGGATTCGAGAGATGATCTTGCTCTACAAAGGATTGCGACAAGATAGATCAAGGCGGAACGACGGAAGAGAGGAGCAGATCCGCAGGCTCCCTCGCTGGCAAATTGTCTTGTGAACCGTGCTTGCAAATTCCGCAACTGAAGTTGCTTTGTTCTTCCCACTGCCGAGCTAGATTTGAATGGGAGGGAAGAGCACGCCAGGAGGGAACTGAAGTGAGATCGCTCACAACTTTTTTAGTTGCTTGAATTCCGTAACCATGTACCAAAAGTAACTCCTCTAACTGGGATGAATCTTAGCGAGTAGCGCCATTTTAGCCACATCGTTACTCTCGTTTTAAGCATCAGTTTGAGATGTACTAGAGGAGCTTCCCTTATCGATTTTCTGGCGCTACACTCATGTCCACTTCAGCTGCAATGTACAAAAGTATATCGCGTTTCTTCTCAATATCGCGTACCCAGATTGGCATCAGCTTTTTTCAGCTGGCTGGCACTTCTGCCCCTTCAACCTTCGGCATTTTTCTGTCCCTAGCCTACAGGTGCTTGCTAGTGTCTGCTCCTGCCTTGCTCTCTCGCTCGCTCTCTCCGTCGCGTGCTGTGTCGTGCTTTGTCCTTTACTCACTAACCCATCTCCACCCGCGTCGCGGTTTTCTAGATCCGCGTCGCGCTGATGTCTGCCAGAGACGTGGCTCCGGCTGCTGCTGGTGGTCGGCCGGCGCTTCTGGTGCACGGCGCGCTGTGGGGGCTGCCTTCCGCCTGCCCCTGCTGCATCCGCGCGGAGGCCTACCTGTGCCTCGCGGCGTTCTCGCACGACTGCGTCGAGTGCCCCGCGCAGATCACCTCCTGTACGCTCCCTTCCGCTCCCCTCCGCTCCCCCTTTCGATCCGCTCTTCTCCGCTTCGCTCCGCTCCCCTCCTTGCTTCTCGCGCTGCTGCTCAAGCTCGTTTCACCGCTTTAGTTCGTTTGCGTTGGCTGGATGCCGATGAAAGCAAGCTTCTCTACTGCTCCAACTCGTTTCACTCACTTCCTCGCGTGCCTCTTTTCGAGCACCTTTCCCCCTCCAGTCCGCGTACTGTTGTTTTGTACCTTCGTCGCATACGGTCGGCCTCATCCCCGCCCCTCTTTCCTCCCTCCCCCCCCCCCCCCCCCCCCCCCCCGGTTCTTTTCCGTCTGATCAGGTGAACTGCCCGCGCTCGAGGATTACCCCACTCCACCCACCCATCCCCCCCCACACCCGACCCGCCCGCATCCTCCTCCGCGCCCTCTGCTGACTCTCCCTCAGGCCCTCCTGCATCTCCCCCTCCCACTGATCCCGCCGATTCGGGAACCCCTGCCTCCGCCGACCCCCCCGCGGGCTCTTCCGCTCCGCCCCGCGCTCGTCGCTCCGCCTCGCGTCCGCTGATCGCGCTTTCCTCCGCGTCCTCCTCCGCCGTAGAGGACTACCTTCGCGCGCACCGCGGAGTGGACCTAGACGCCGCGCTTTCCCCCGCAGAGCACGCCGAGCTGACTGCGCTCCGCGGATTAGTGGAAACCATCCTCTCCGCCGCGGCGCAGGCGGAGCTCTGGGGGGAGGAGAGCAACCGCGGAGCGTTGCGGGAGATGTTTGACTCCGCGGTGCCCTGGCCGCTCTCCCGCGCGCTGCTGTGGAGAGAGGCGCGGAACCACAGATGGGGGGAAGCGGAGCCGAAAGCGCACCAGGGGGAGGGCGGGGCTGATGGACGAGGCAGTGGCGCGGGAGGGGCACTGGCGCGCGCTGGTGTGCGGTCGAGGGAAGAGGTCGGTGAAAGGGGTTTTGGCGTGAGGGGTTTAGGGTTTAAACTGGGGAGATCAGATCGGGAATGTTATTACTAGGGAGACGCGATGGGATGCTACTGGGGGAGGGGTGTGTGGGGAGTTGTCGTATCACTTCCACCCTGCTCATATCTTCCCCCGTTCAATGACATTTCACACCCGAGCTTTCTCTCATCCCCACGTCTCCTACGCTTCCCTCCTCCCTGGCTTAAACCCTGAACCCTCACATCAGCTGTTTGCACGAGCAGCAGCAGCCTACTCTGCCCTGGCCACTCGCCTGGGGGACGCACCTCTCTTCTTCGACCCAAGGCGAGTATACTGGATAACTGGAGAGCACAGCACAGCACAGTGCAGCGCAGTGCAGCAACCATACTTGATACGGCAGCACTGTCTGTGTGACATGACTCTTCACATCACAGCACAGTGTGACCCGCGTCCTGTTAAAGGAGTGTCGTCTTTGCCTCTCCTGAACTGCAAGTGGCCTATGCATGATGGATGGTCCCGTCATGGCCCACCCGGCCTTGCAATAGATCAGTCTCTAGGTGCTCGCTTCCCCTGCCGCTGCCCCTGTCCTGCCCTGCCGTGCCCTGCCTGCCGGCCCTGCCCTGCTTCCCACACAACATCCTACGCCCTTTTCCTTCCCCTTCCTGCGCTCTCCCACAGGCCGTCAAGCCTAGATGCTGCTCTCTACGCGCATCTCATCTTCGTCACACAGGCCCCGCTGGTATGTGCTGTGTGTGGTGTCAGGAATCCACAGGCCGGATTTGCAGACCGGGAAGTGGTGTGGAAGTGTGAATTGCAAGCCCAATCAAGAGACTGGGAACTAGAGAAGCAAGAGGAGGCAGTTGTAGGTGGAAGTGTATTGGCAAGAGGGGGCGAGGTTTGAAGGGAGTGTGTATGCACCTGCCTGGTCCTTCGGTGCCTTGCGTCTTCCCTCTGACAAACCGCACGCACACGCCACAGCCTCCCCATTTTCCTCTTGAAATTGACCCACTTCATCCGCATTTGCAATCTGTCCCCCTGTATTCTTCTGTCCCCACCAACCCCCATCTCCCTCCATCCCTTTCCCCCCTCCTTTCCCCCCCCATTTCCCTCTCCCCGCCTCAGGTCAAGTCGCAGCTGCAGCAGCTGGTGTCGTCACACGCGCCTCTGCGCGCCTTCCTCTCAGCAATGACCAACCGCCTCACCACTGCCCGTGCTGCTCTCAGTGAAGGCTCCGCTGTGCCCCCGCCGCTCTCACGGCCCTTCGCACCCTCCAGAGGGGCAGGTGAGACAGGGAGATGAGGAGGCAGGGGGGAATGTGGGATGCTGTTTGGCGATGCTCTATATGCATTGTTGCTTGTGCACATTTAGCGGCGATCTATCACATTTCTCTTCCACCCCCCCTTGCTGTGCCTACCACCTCCCAACATTCCGGCACATCCCGTGTTTCCTCTACGTCCCTATCCCCCCTCCCATCCACTACCCGTCACCCTCCACAACAGGCAGGAAGGCGGCTCTCTCGGCTCAGGCACCCTCCGAGAGCAGCAAGTCTGACGGATGGTCCTTTCATCAGTTTGCTTTGCATCCCTATCTCCCCGGCCTCTCATCTGTTACCCGTACCTGCTATCCCTGCCTTTCACAGCAGGCAGGAAGGTGTGTGGATCAGCACAGGCATCGACTGACAGCAGCAAGCCCCGGCCAAGCGCATGGATGCTCGTGGTGGTCCAGGTGGCAGCAATCATTAGTACATTGTGTCCTCATCATGTCAAGGGTTTCCCCTCCGCCTCCCAATTCCCCTGCCTCCCATCCATCCACTACCTGTACCCTTTACCCCACAGCAGGCTGAAAGGAGCCTCCAGCCCAGACATCGAGTAAGAGCAGCATCTGTTTCTTTCGCGTTCCAATCCCCCCCCATTCCATCCGTCACCCGTGCCCTACAGCAGGCAGGAAGGAGCCTCGAGCACAGACATCGACTGAGAGCAGCAAGCCGCGGTCAAGCGCATGGATGTTCGTGGTGGCACAGGTGGCAGCAATCATCGGGTACATCGTCATGTCATCGGTTTCTGTGGATCTAGGGGAGGAGGATGAGGAGGAGGAAGAGGAGAGCAGGAGTGGAAGGAGACACGGCGGCGTGGGGAGTGCGAGGGGAGGCTTGAGAGGGCACGAGGAGGAGAGAGAGGAGGATGGTGGGGAGGGGGATGAGGAGGGAGAGGAGGATGAGATTGATGATGATGACGACGATGAGTAGAGCTAGGGCTAGTTAGTTCATGTTGGTGTGAATGATCATGTGGATTCTGCTGTCTGGATCTGTGTAGACAAATCCAGATGGCAGTTGAAAACATACTCTTCCCCTTTTTTGTTTGATTACAGTATAGAGCACATACAGCCCAACAAGGTAAGGTGTGGGTACAAACAAATTGCTAACAAGCCAAGTCCATGGAGGGGGATCTTGGGGCATTCATTACAACTTTCAGTGATGGCATAGGGTTCTGGTACACTATTTTATGTGATGGACATACAATTCATTATTTCACATGATCAGTGACAGTCAGAGACACTGGCTTGGATTCGAAGCAAACATGTACCCGTGTGGTCTGAACAAGCAACCCCTTCAGTATATCAGAATTTCTACATATGAACAGCCTGTACAAAAGTACATTGAGGCAGTGAACTGATACGTAGTGCTAGGATTTAGCTTGTGCGAGGTACAACTCTGCAACCTCTGCTGCAGACGAGGCGTCCTCAGGAATTCGGTCCAATCGGACAGAAGCAAACCTTGGGAAGCGCAGGGATATTCCCCGTGTAGCGTGCACCAATCCCAAGGCCGCTTGATGCACTGGTGAAAGCGTTAGGTCTGGAGGAAGGTAGGCACAGAGGTAGGACGTTGAACTTGGCAGACTCAACCAGAAAGTTGCTAGGTGCTGTCATGGTTTTGTCAAAACAGATGCAGATAAGTGAGCAGGAAGGCAGCAAGGCATGGTGACAGCAGAGAGTAGGGGAGTGAGTACTGGACGGGGGAAAGGGGAAGGAGGGGTGGGGGAGAGAGAACGGTGGGGCGGAAGGGGGGGAAGGGGGGAAAGGGGGGGAAGGAGAGAGCGCTACACATGGACGGAACGGAAGCAAGTAGAACAGCAGCGTACCAGCGAAGCGGATCTCCCACACTTCGTGTGGCAGGAACCAGACATCGGGCTCCTCCAGAGTGGCAAAGTATGGCGGCTTGCGAGGCAGCACCAGCTCCTCGCTGTCCCGATAGCGCGACGTGGCCTGGTGTTGGGTGTTAGGTGTTAGGTGCAACGTGGAATGGGCAGTGCACAATGGGAATGGGGGGTTGATGGGGGTTAAATGGCATTCAAACCACTGGCAGAATGGCATTGGAGAAACGGGTGAAGCGTTCAAGATTGCATGTGTGAGGCCCCACTGGCTTTGGAGAGGAACTAAAGCAATAAATGCTTTGATCATCAAGAGACAGTTGAGCGGAATGAGAAGCAAAGTCATATTGAGGATACTGAACATCGGCATATAGTTCCTTGCACATACCCAATAACATAGCAACCCAACCATACACTACGCAGGTGACAAGAAACTCAGCACAGACTAACCTGGAAGTAAGGAGGAACCCCATAGCAGCACTTGACATGACAGGGGAGGGTAGGGAGACGGCAAAGAGGGTATAGCGATGGCACCTGGGAGTAGGCGGCGTCTGAGAAGCCTGAGATGACTCGAGAGGAGGTTAGAAGTGGGAACTGCCTACAAAGCTACTCCCGAGAGGAGGTTGGGACTGGGCGCTCTTAGGAGGGCGCACCTGGGGAGGGCTCACCTGGGCGTAGAAGGCGTCTGAGAAGCCTGACATGACTCGGCACACGCTCTCATAGCGCTCTGAGTCCGCATTGTAGCACGCCAGCAGGAACGGGCTGAACCTGCTCTCACACGCATGCACATGGCGCAACAACATGGTAAGGCTTCAGAGCTAAAGACTCAACAGCACAGTAAGCCACCATATGGAGCGCACAGAGGAAGAGATGCTCACAAGAAGGGTCGTGCAGGCACTGCACACAACCTTCTCCTCACCACACCCGCCTCCCCTCTCACACCATCCCCCCTCCCTCTCAATATGTCCTTGTATAAGGTAGGTGGCATGTTACAGGCATGGCAGGTGGGGAGAGATACGACAACGGGCAAACAACATACGCCAAGATCGCTAGGCTAGGGCGACCCTAAGGGTCGCCGAGGTCAGGCTCTAGGACCTGCAGCTTGCCGCCCACGGGGAGTGGCTCCGCTGGGAAACCCAGCGGGCTCAACTCCCTCTCACCACACCCCCCTCCCTCTCACCATCCGGCCTTGCGTCCATTGCCGTGCCAAGCGCCGATGGGCACCAGATCCAGGGAGTCGCCCAGCCCTGCCACGTAGTCCCTCTTCACCTGCCAGGGGCATTGCGTTGCGGCACAGTGGGCGCGGTGGGCACGGAGTGGCGATGAGCCTAGTGAACATGGGTTAACATGGGAAACACAGGCCCCGCCACGTAGTCCCTCTTCACCTGCTGTGCGGTTAATGAGGGCCATAGGGTGGCGATGACACTAGTGAACATGCCTTACAGGGATAATACATTCCCTGCTGCGGGTTGGTAAAGCTTCGCCCGCAATGGGGATGGGGGGGTGACGAGACGAGTGAGCATGCCTTAACATGGATAACACGGCCCCTGCCACGTAGTCCCCCTTCACCTGCTGTGCCCATAGAATGGCGGGTGGTCAGTCCTGCTTCCCCTCGCATAAAGTGGCCCCCTTGGTGGGCAAGCAGGGTGGGAAGGGCAGGGCTGGCTCACATGCCACATGACCGCTCTACTGCACCAGGGGTGAGCAGGCAGCCGTGCCGTACCATGCTGGCTCGCATGCAGGCATGCTGCTGGCGCTACAGAAATTTGCTGGCCGACAAGATTGAAAGGCTGAGGAGATAAGTGCTGAGGAGATAAGTGCTGAGGAGATAAGTGCTGAGGAGATAAGTGCTGAGGAGATAAGTGCTGAGGAGATAAGTGCTGAGGAGATAAGTGCTGAGGAGATAAGTGCTGAGGAGATAAGTGCTGAGGAGATAAGTGCTGAGGAGATAAGTGCTGAGGAGATAAGTGCTGAGGAGATAAGTGCTGAGGAGATAAGTGCTGAGGAGATAAGTGCTGAGGAGATAAGTGCTGAGGAGATAAGTGCTGAGGAGATAAGTGCTGAGGAGATAAGTGCTGAGGAGATAAGTGCTGAGGAGATAAGTGCTGAGGAGATAAGTGCTGAGAAGATAAGTGCTGAGGAGATAAGTGCTGAGGAGATAAGTGCTGAGGAGATAAGTGCTGAGGAGATAAGTGCTGAGGAGATAAGTGCTGAGGAGATAAGTGCTGAGGAGATAAGTGCTGAGGAGATAAGTGCTGAGGAGATAAGTGCTGAGGAGATAAGTGCTGAGGAGATAAGATAAGTGCTGAGGAGATAAGTGCTGAGGAGATAAGTGCTGAGGAGATAAGTGCTGAGGAGATAAGTGCTGAGGAGATAAGTGCTGAGGAGATAAGTGCTGAGGAGATAAGTGCTGAGGAGATAAGTGCTGAGGAGATAAGTGCTGAGGAGATAAGTGCTGAGGGAAGATAAGTGCTGAGGAGATAAGTGCTGAGGAGATAAGTGCTGAGGGAGATAAGTGCTGAGAGATAAGTGCTGAGGAGATAAGTGCTGAGGAGATAAGTGCTGAGGAGATAAGTGCTGAGGAGATAAAGTGCTGAGGAGATAAGTGCTGAGGAGATAAGTGCTGAGGAGATAAGTGCTGAGGAGATAAGTGCTGAGGAGATAAGTGCTGAGAGGAGATAAGTGCTGAGGAGATAAGTGCTGAGGAGATAAGTGCTGAGGAGATAAGTGCTGAGGAGATAAAGTGCTGAGGAGATAAGTGCTGAGGAGATAAGTGCTGAGGAGATAAGTGCTGAGGAGATAAGTGCTGAGGAGATAAGTGCTGAGGAGATAAGTGCTGAGGAGATAAGTGCTGAGGAGATAAGTGCTGAGGAGATAAGTGCTGAGGGAGAGATAAGTGCTGAGGAGATAAGTGCTGAGGAGATAAGTGCTGAGGAGATAAGTGCTGAGGAGATAAGTGCTGAGGAGAAAGTGCTGAGGAGATAAGTGCTGAGGAGATAAGGCTGAGGAGATAAGTGCTGAGGAGATAAGTGCTGAGGAGATAAGTGCTGAGGAGATAAGTGCTGAGGAGATAAGTGCTGAGGAGATAAGTGCTGAGGAGAATAAGTGCTGAGGAGATAAGTGCTGAGAGATAAGTGCTGAGGAGATAAGTGCTGAGGAGATAAGTGCTGAGGAGATAAGTGCTGAGGAGATAAGTGCTGAGGACGAGATAAGTGCTGAGGAGATAAGTGCTGAGGAGATAAGTGCTGAGGAGATAAGTGCTGAGGAGATAAGTGCTGAGGAGATAAGTGCTGAGGAGATAAGTGCTGAGGAGATAAGGCTGAGGAGATAAGTGCTGAGGAGATAAGTGCTGAGGGGGGGGGGGTGAGGAGATAAGTGCTGAGGGATAAGTGCTGAGGAGATAAGTGCTGAGGAGAAAGTGCGAGGAGTAAGTGCTGAGAGATAAGTGCTGAGGAGATAAGTGCTGAGAGATAAGTGCTGAGGAGATAAGTGGTGCTGAGGAGATAAGTGCTGAGGAGATAAGTGCTGAGAGATAAGTGCTGAGGAGATAATGCTGAGGAGATAAGTGCTGAGGAGATAAGTGCTGAGGAGATAAGTGCTGAGAAAGGAGAATAAGTGCTGAGGAGATAAGTGCTGAGGGGAAGATAATGCTGAGGAGATAAGTGCTGAGGAGATAAGTGCTGAGGAGATAAGCAAGTGCTGAGGGATAAGTGCTGAGGAGATAAGTGCTGAGGAGAGGAGATAAGTGCTGAGGAGATAATAGAATGGCTGAGGAAAGATAAGTGCTGAGGGCAGATAAGTGCTGAGAAGATAAGTGCTGAGGAGATAAGTGCTGAGGAGATAAGTGTGAGGAGAATAAGTGCTGAGGAGATAAGTGCTGAGGAGATAAGTGCTGAGGAGATAAGTGCTGAGGAGATAATCTGAGAGATAAGTGCTGAGGAGATAAGTGCTGAGGAGATAAGTGCTGAGGAGATAAGTGCTGAGGAGATAAGTGCTGAGGAATAAGTGCTGAGGAGATAAGTGCTGAGGAGATAAGTGCTGAGGAGATAGTGCTGAGGAGATAGTGCTGAGGAGATAAGTGCTGAGGAGATAAGTGCTGAGGAGATAAGTGCTGAGGAGATAAGTGCTGAGGAGATAAGTGCTGAGGAGATAAGTGTGAGGAGATAAGTGCTGAGGAGATAAGTGCTGAGGAGATAAGTGCTGAGGAGATAAGTGCTGAGGAGATAAGTGCTGAGGAATAAGTGCTGAGGAGATAAGTGCTGGAGGAGAGAAAGTGCTGAGGAGATAAGTGCTGAGGAGATAAGTGCTGAGGAGATAAGTGCTGAGAGAAATGCTGAGGGATAAGTGCTGAGGAGATAAGTGCTGAGGAGATAAGCTGGGAGATAAGTGCTGAGGGAGATAAGTGCTGAGGAGATAAGTGCTGAGGAGATAAGTGCTGAGGAGATAAGTGCTGAGGAGATAAGTGCTGAGGAGAATAAGTGCTGAGGAGAAGCTGAAGATAAGTGCTGAGGAGATAAGTGCTGAGGAGATAAGTGCTGAGGAGATAAGTGCTGAGGAGATAAGTGCTGAGGAGATAAGTGCTGAGGAGATAAGTGCTGAGGAGATAAGTGCTGAGGAGATAAGTCTGCTGGAGGAGATAAGTGCTGAGGAGATAAGTGCTGAGGAGATAAGTGCTGAGGAGATAAGTGCTGAGGAGATAAGTAGCTGAGGAGATAAGTGCTGAGGAGATAAGTGCTGAGGAGATAAGTGCTGAGGAGATAAGTGCTGAGGAGATAAGTGCTGAGGAGATAAGTGCTGAGGAGATAAGTGCTGAGGAGATAAGTGCTGAGGAGATAAGTGCTGAGGAGATAAGTGCTGAGGAGATAAGTGCTGAGGAGATAAGTGCTGAGGAGATAAGTGCTGAGGAGATAAGTGCTGAGGAGATAAGTTAGTGCTGAGGAGATAAGTGCTGAGAATAAGTGCTGAGGAGATAAGTGCTGAGGAGATAAGTGCTGAGGAGATAAGTGCTGAGGAGATAAGTGCTGAGGAGATAAGTGCTGAGGAGATAAGTGCTGAGGATAATGCTGAGGAGATAAGTGCTGAGGAGTGTGGAGATAAGTGCTGAGGAAGATAAGTGCTGAGGAGATAAGTGCTGAGAGAGAATAAGTGCTGAGGAGATAAGTGCTGAGGAAGATAAGTGCTGAGGAGATAAGTGCTGAGGAGATAAGTGCTGAGGAGATAAGTGCTGAGGAGATAAGTGCTGAGGAGATAAGTGCTGAGGAGATAAGTGCTGAGGAGATAAGTGCTGAGGGTAAGTGCGAGGATAAGTGCTGAGGAGATAAGTGCTGAGGAGATAAGTGCTGAGGAGATAAGTGCTGAGGAGATAAGTGCTGAGGAGATAAGTGCTGAGGAGATAAGTGCTGAGGAGATAAGTGCTGAGGAATAAGTGGAGAGATAAGTGCTGAGGAGATAAGTGCTGAGATAAGTGCTGAGGAGATAAGTGCTGAGGAGATAAGTGCTGAGGAGATAAGTGCTGAGGAGATAAGTGCTGAGGAGATAAGTGCTGAGGAGATAAGTGCTGAGGAGATAAGTGTGAGGGGGCTGAGGAAGGAGATAAGTGCTGAGGAGATAAGTGCTGAGGAGATAAGTGCTGAGGAGATAAGTGCTGGAAGGGGAGATAAGTGCTGAGAAGATAAGTGCTGAGGAGATAAGTGCTGAGGAGATAAGTGCTGAGGAGATAAGTGCTGAGGAGATAAGTGCTGAGGAGATAAGTGCTGAGGAGATAAGTGCTGAGGAGATAAGTGCTGAGGAGATAAGTGCTGAGGAGATAAGTGCTGAGGAGATAAGTGCTGAGGAGATAAGTGCTGAGGAGATAAGTGCTGAGGAGATAAGTGCTGAGGAGATAAGTGCTGAGAAGATAAGTGCTGAGGAGATAAGTGCTGAGAAGATAAGTGCTGAGGAGATAAGTACTGAGGACTCCAGGGGCAAGATGAGTTGCCCACCCAAGAGTAACTGAACAACCACCACACGCCCAGACGAGACTGCTAAACATACCGATGGGAGCACACTTCAAGCCACACGCACGCACCTTGAGCCACGAGTCAGAGCGTTTGTTGGGGCAGTAGAAGGAAGGAGGCCCGTCCAGCAGCTTCACCATCAGCCCCTCACACCCGCGCTCTATCGCCGTGCCCAGGCTCGCCTCTATGGCCGCGTCCGAACCCTCTTCTGTCACCGCCGCCCCCAGTGGACCGGATTCTCCTGCTGTTCTCAAGCCCCCCTCTATTCCCGCATCTAGACTCCCCTCTATTGCCGCGCCCGGACTCTCTTCCACCACCGCTTTTACACTCCTCCCCACTTCTAACGTCCCTGCCTTCGCCTCCTCTCCCTCTTGTTTTGCCTCCACTCCCTCTTCTTCACCCTCGTCCCTCTTCGCCCCTCCCTTTTCGTCTTCACCCCTGATCTCTTCCTCCCCCAATGTGCACCAATCTGCCACACCTGCTTCCCTGCCTGCCGTGCATGGTTCCACCCCGCCACTCTTCTCACCATCCCCCTCCTCGCTGCCCCTCTCTGCTGCTCCTCCTCTCGCTTCCTCCCTCTGCTGCAGTGGCCGCCGCTTGTCTATCTGGCCCTTGGGCGTTGCTGCTGCAATCTGTGCAGCACAAGCGTGCAAACAGTGCAAGGATATGGGGAGGGCAACATGAGATGAGATGAGTTGGAGCCGTGTTCTTAGAATACCACGAAATCAAGCGACCGCAGTCTATATAACCCCCCCATCCGCCTGCACCCAATGCACCTAACCTCCTCTTCACCCCCCTCCGCTCGAATGTTCCAACGTATTTATATACGGCAAGCATAGAGGGAAGAGGTAAGGCAAAACGTCCTAGCAAACTATAGCCAGGCCCCCCTAAGGGGCGCTGGGGGGCGGGCCTAGGATGTGAAACAGGTAACCAGGTAACCAGCATCCAGGGGCTCCGCTCAATCGCTCTCCCTCCCCCCTCCGCCCTCTGCTCTCACATTGCCACCCCTCGCCCTCCCTACCCCCATCTTCCCTCCATCCCCCCTCTCCCCCCGCCCCCTCTCTCCCCATCGCCAGCCTCGGCTTGCCTTACAATCGTGAGCAACCCCAACCCCCACAAGCTCACTTCACTGCTGCCATGCAAGTTTCTCACCCCCCGGCACCCCCCCCCTCCCCCACCCCTCACCCCCCCTTCCCCCCAACCAAAGAAAAAAATCTCTTATCACCCATACCCCCAATTGGTCCTTTGTATTAGATAGAGAGTGTTACCTTGCGCTTCCCACTCCCAACAGGCATGGCAGTGGGAAGCGCAAGAGAAGAAAACCGGTGAGTCCTACCTGCTCCCTCTCTATCCGCCCCTATCCCACTTCTCCCCCGCTGCACCCACCTCCGTCTGCTGCACAACCATAAGCCCACCAGGGACTTCGCTGCCGGCCGCACCGGGCAATGCTGCCACAAGGGCTGCACATGTGAATGTGTTGCGAGAAGGGGGAACAGGGGAAGGGGAAAGGGTTAAGGGGGGAGGGGTGGAGGAGGAGGAGCGCGGGGGGTGGGGGGGGTGTGGGGGGGGGGAGGGGAAGGTCAAGTAAAGGACATGATAAACAGGAAAGGCGGACATGGGCAAAAGGGGAGACGCGATCAACTCACCCTCATGGCGCTCCCTCAGGCTCCGCTTGATGAGCCTGAACGGCAGGCAGGGACACAAGAGGACAGCATGGGAGCAAGCCAGGACAAATAAGGGCGGTGATGACTTGGAGATGGCATGGCGATGGATGGCAGAAATATGTGGAGCAGTGAGGGGCAGTGAGGGGCAGTGAAGGGCAGTGAGGGGCAGTGAGGGGCAGTGAGGGGCAGTGAGGGAGGCAAATGCATTTGCTAGGTGCGTTGACGGGGTTTTTTTCTCAGAAGGCTAGAGCTCCTCAGCTCCCTCACGAGCGCACGTCAAATAGGGGTGCAATAAAGGGTGAGCTGGTCGCTTACGATTGGCCGTTGAGAAAGAGAATGTCAAACACGCAGACGCAGACTTGAGGACCTGCAGAGGCACATACACCATCCGCCATGCACCATGCGCCATGCACCATGCGCCATGCAACATGAGCCATGCGCCATGCAACATGAGCCATGCGCCATGCACCATGTACATGCACATGCACATGCACCATGCACCATGCACACAAAAGAAAGGTCTTAGGTTCCCCAATGCTTGCAAGGCCTTTCGTTTCGTTCAATTCTGAAAGACAAGCCGCACTGCTCATGCACACGCACACCATACAAGTGCCCGCAGGAGATGAGCAACGCTGCTGCTGCTGCTGCTGCCATGGTTCCAACAGTTGCAGTGGTCGCTGCTCCATCGAGGGATGCTGCAACATCCCTGCCCACACCCGCGATCAGCTCAGCGATCATCATACCTGTTATGCTTCCGCTGCTACCGTTGCCCACCACCACTGCTTCCCTTGTGCTTGCCTCAGCCTCCCCTGCTCCCTGCACCCCTCTGTCTCCAGCCATCGCTTCCGCACATCCCTCCTGCTCCGCTGTTCCCACACCTCCATCCCCTATATCCCTTCCTCTCACCTCCTTCCCTTCCTCCATCTTCTTCTCTCCCTCTCCCCGATCCATTCCCGCTAAATCGCTGCTATCAGCCACACCCCTTTCCTCCCTCTCGTCCTGCTTTCTGCCACCTGCCTTCGCTGCTCCCTTTGCACTAACCCTCCGCTTTTCCTCGTTTACCCACCCTGAACCCTCCCTGTTCTCCGCCCTATCCCTGCTGCCCCTCTCCCGGCGTGAAAGCACTTGGAAAGGAAGCAGCTTGTGGAAGCCCTGGGGCGTGATTTCGTGCGACACTGGCACGATCTGACACCCAGCACCACACAGACATACACATACACACATACACGCGCGCGCGTGGACACAGGTACACCCATGCGCACACAAAGACACAGAAAGACACACAAAGACACAGAAACGCATACACATGCATGTGGACAAGGGCAGCATGCAGCAGGTGAGGTGAGAGGCGGCAGAGGGCGACAAGTCGAGGTGGTTTGGGTTTGAGAGAGCAGTCAAGGGGATTCCACATGGGGTGGGGTGGAGATAACGAGGCAAATACACAATGTTGAGAAGAGTAATTGGGGACTCGGATGGTAAGGGAAGGTGGCAAGCAGTGTGGCAAGCATGGTGGTGTGAGGGGTTGATATGTGGGTGTCAGGCAGATGAGAGAGACGGCAGAGCAGACCCACTCCAAGGACAGAAGTCCCTCACTCGCCTCACCATCCTTCCCCGCCATCCCACCCCGCTGTTTCACCCCCCCCATCCCACCTCGGCATCGAGGATGGAGAAGCGGACGGAGGCATGCAGGGCTGACTGCACGGCGGCTATGGCGTCGGGAAACATGGCGGTGCACTCCTGGCTGCTGCGTGAGAAGAGCCGCACCGACGGCGGTGCTGCTGCTGCTGCTGCTGCTGCTAATGAGGGGGCCGGCAACGATGGTGGTGCCGGTGGTGAGAAGACGTGTATCTGCGCGCGCTGGCCATCGTACCTGGGAGGTTCGGGGTTAAGGTTTAGGGATGAAGGACAGGCTTGTGACCAGATGTGTTAGTTAAGTGCCACTGCTGGGAGTGCGGCTAGTATTTGGAGTGCTGGTGGAGAAAAAAGAAAGCTGGGGCAAATGACATGGTGCGACAAAACACGCTTTCCGATGCCCGCCCTCGTGCAGAGAGAGGAAACAACCAAGTGAATTAGGCAGGCTAGCAGCAAGCAGACAAACTCAGCAAGCAGACAAACTCAGCAAGCAGACAAACTGAGCAAGCAGACAAACTCCAGATGCTACAGAGCGAAACAAGCTGCACAGCATAGCCCGCATGCAACATCATCTGTAGCACAAATAAGCACCCCCCACCATAGCACAGAACGGAGGTGAGTATGACCTTGATAGCACAGAAAGTGATAACATACTTGAACTCACACGCGAAGGCATGGCCGTGAAACCGTGAGAGCACATGGGCAGGACCTGTGGAGACCCTAGGGGAATGAGGTGGAGAGGATAGAAGAAAACGAGGGATGAGAGGGGTGCACGGGATGGTTGAGAATAGTTGCACAGGATTGTTGCAAGGGATGCAAAGGACGGAAGACATTAACGAGGTCTGAAAGGGATGCATTCCAACTCCGAAACACAGCTTCCCTTCGGAAGCAGCGGCTGCTGAGAAACAGGCGCGATTTGCTAAGCAGACTCACTTGGCCAGCATGGGCTTGAACGGAGTTCCCGGCGACAAAAGGTCACCAGACGCCACTGCTTGCAGGAGAAAGGCCAGCCCCGCACCCAGCGCAGGTGATGACAGGGTCCCAGGAGCAGCACTGGCCGTCCCAGCATCCCTGGCAGAGGTCCCAAGAACATCTCCAGTGGTCCCAGTGGCAGTACCGTCTGAAGCCCGACTCAAGGTTGGGCCAGTGCCAAGCTCACACGAGCTGCCGACTGTACCATCAGTGGCAGCAGGAGCTGCAGCAGGAGTGGAAACAGTGATGGCAGCTCCAGTGGTAGCAGCGGTGGTGGCAGGCGTGGGAGTGGGGTCGGTGGGGTGTGAGGAAGAAAGAGCGCAGGTTTTGAAGGGGAAACCATGCTGAGGCGGTGCTTCTTTGCTGAGAATCAACGGCAGAAGCAGCTCCTGTTGTGAGGGTAGTTATAAAAGGATGCGACATGGGAATACGCAGCGGTATGAGGGAGACGGGAGGAGTGAAACGCAATGCTGTGTCGGTGGCCATGAATGCAAGAGGACAAGAGCGGAAGGACTGACGATCAAGGCAATGCAGAGGATGGCAGCATGACAGGAGGAACGACATACGGATAATCCAGAAAGGGACACTAGACATGGGGCATGGGACTGACAAGGTTTGGCAGAAAGTTGAAGGCCTCGGAAAGAGCAGAGGAAGCTTCCTGCATGGCACAGGAACACGGGGGCTGAAAGGCTTTACAGACGCGAGCAGAGCAGGCGGGACAACAGCAGCAATTCACACGTGGTGCAGAGCAGTGCGTCCAAGCCATTCCCTACCCCTACAAAATGGCAGGAGGGAGTTCCAGTGTAACTTCCATATATGTCCTCCACAGCCCACCTGAATGGTTGGTCGGAGGAGGTTGAGCAGAGCAGGCGGGTTGGCAGAGTGTGGCGAATCATGATGCATGATGCATGACTGAGGCTGCAGCCAGCACTTGATGCAAGGCTAGTTTTGCAGCACCTCACAGCCCACCCACCTGGATGGTCGGTCGGAGGAGCTTGAGCCGGAAGGGCGAGACGGCCGAGCGTGGCGATGCATGGTGCATGACGGTGGCTGCTGCCAGCGCAGGCAGCACTGTCCGCATCATGGCCCCTATGCGCATGTTGCGCACCTGCATGGGGGGAACGGTGAGAGGGAAAAAGGAAGGGGGCAGGGGGGGGTAATGTTGCTAGGGGGAAGGACGAGTGCTGGTAACACTGACCGCATCATGGCTCCGATGTGCATGTTGTGCACATGCATGTGGCCCACGGGGGAAGCGGCAGGGAAGGCGGAGGAGAGGGGGGAGGGGTAGAGTTTCGTTTTGCCATGTTGGAACCCCTCGGGAAGCTCCCATAGGTTGTGAGCTCCCATAGGTTGTGAGCTCCCATAGGTTGTGAGCTCCCATAGGTTGTGAGCTCCAATGTTGTCGCACGCTCAGTACTTACCTTGCTCGCCTATCCTGTACCCAGGGTTACATCGTGCAGCGTTGTGTAGCATCGTGTAGCATCATGTCAGGAGTGTAAGAATCTCACCGGCAACCTGGCATTTGATCTCCACTCCCCGACTCAAAAGACACCTTCCCTAACCAGCACCAATACCAGCCCACCCACCAGCGTCCTGACAACGTATTTGATCTCTATTCCTCGGCATGCTCGCAGCAGCCCCACGATCAGCGCCTTTCTGCGTGCCGCACTGCCCTGGCCTGCCTCCGAGCTGAGGGGTGTGGGCAAGGGATGTGGGGAAGACGTGTGAGGAAGAGATGAGGGGAGCAGGTGTGGGGTTGTGGCGGCATGGAGTGGGAGGAATGGCAGGCTGGCTTGAGCAGAAATGGTGATGAGATGACTAGACACCCAGGGGGCTTGGGAGAAATTTTCAGTCGACTCAAAAATGATGATGAGATGATTAGACACCCAGGGGGCTTGGGAGAGTCACGGGGGGGACAGCAAACAGGACAACAGAGAGGCGTGCAGCACACGGCAATGGAGGGCTTCAAAGCGGCATTGCAAGAGGCGCTATACGGCAGAAGCAGGTGATGCGAAGCACCTGAGGGAACGCAGCGTGTGGAAAAGGTGGTGGATGGTGAGGGGCTGCGGGGCGCGCAGCAGGCGCTGGGAAGAACGGCAGGCGTGCGCCACGTCGCCTGGAAGGTAGAGCGGGCATGGACGGGAGAAGGAAAAAAAAAGGGGGGGAAAAAAGACGGGGTGGTGGGAAGAAATTAAAGAAAGAAAGGAAGTAATAAAGAAAGCAACAGGGGCACAGCTGGGGATTATCCTGCAGGTGGGACTGGAAAGCAACAGGGACCACGATGTGAAAGGGAGTTTTGAGGCGCCTCAAAACTAGGCCTCAAAACTGAGGCGCCTCAAAACAGGGACCAGGATGTGAAGGGGGGTACTGGTGGGGCTGGGGAGAGGCCTCAACCGGGCCGGGTGAGGAGTGGAAGGCGTATGGACATTGCCCATGCAAGTTTACATGAGCTGCACTGACTTTTGAGAAAACTAAACAAACTGACTTTTGAGTGGACTCAAAACTTTGGAACGGAAGGCGTACCGAGATCACCCATGCGCGTGTACATGAGTCGCAGCTGCTGCCTCTTCACACCTGTTGCCTCGCACACAGCACCAGCCACGGTGCCCCCTCCCACGTTGAGATCCTGGTGGTAAGAGCGGGAGAAAAGGTCATGCTGCTGTGAGCATAGTCACACTGCACCTCCCGCACTGCACCTCCCACACTGCACCTCCCACATTGCACCTCCCACATCGTTTCAGCACACTACAACAGTTGCGGCAGGGACACGGCAGAGACTAGATGATGAATTTCACGCAGGAAGGGGCTTGAATAGCACTATTGGGGCCTTGAAGGGCGGATGCGCTCACAGCATTGACGAAGTCGGGTGCAATGCGATTGGTGCAGAGGTAGACAGCCGGTAGGAGATCATTGGGTGAGAGCGCCAAGAGGCTGACTCGTGGCAGAGGAGGGGAGGCGAGAGGGATTTTGGAAGGGGATACAAATTGATACCCTCAAAGGGACAGCATGGCAAAATAGTGGAGAGGATTGAGAGAGGGGAAGTAATGTCCACATCATAAAGCGCACACTGTGATAGTTTTATTAGAATCACACTCTGCCACACCAAGCGCACACAGGAGCAGCACTTGTCGTTGGCCCGCAGTGGATGGAGATGCCTGAATGCTGAGCGACTGGCAGAATTTGGTGAGTAAACCGCATAACCGTACAGATTGGAGCATGCAAGAGAAGAGCATTGGTGCTCCCATGCACACCTGCGGAAGGCATTGGTGAGTATGTCGGCTGTCTTGATCCGCCCGCTCTCCCGCTCCACTGCTTCAAACGCCACTGCTAGGTGCATGTACGGCGCTGCTTCCCCCTCTGCCCACCCCGCTGTAACGGAACCAGACCCGAGCATGGTATGGATAGTACGAAAAGACATGATGTGTTATGGCATGGGCATGGGCATGGGCATGGGCATGGGCACCGTGTGCTCGTGCGATCACACCTGAACTCGCAACTGACAAAGACATCACTCTGCAGGCCCACATGCGGAGATAGAGCAATGCCACACGTGGAGATATGCCACACGTGGAGATCTGCCACACAGAGACAGAGTGCACTGACCATGTGCCATGGGATCAAACGCTGCCACGCTAAGTGCCACATGAGGTGCTAATCCCTTGCCACTGGAAGCTGCTGCTGCTGCTGTTGTTGCTGCTGCTGCAGCTGCTGCACCCCTGATGCTGAGAGATGATGCTGCCGCTGCGCCTTTACCACCATGTGCTACTGTACTCTCCACCGCAGTGGCCTTGGCACCATGCAGCACAGCAGCGGCCCGCTCTTCTCCCACTGCCACCACTGCCAGGTCGACCCTCCTTGCGTCCCGTGAGCCAACATCCCCACAAGCACCACTGTCAGCACTCAATCCGTTGCCCTGTCTCTCGCCAATTGGCTCTCTACCTACCATGCCTTCATTCCCATCCTCGTCTTTGACCGCCTCGCCAACTCTTCTCCCCAACTCGCCCTCCCTCTCTCCTTCCTCCTTCCCTTCCTCCTTCCCTCCCCCCTTCCTTTCCCCCTGCCCTTCCCCCTCCCCCTGGCCAGTTTGCCCTTCGTCCACTCCCACAGGTGCTGCGTCCCCATCCCTCCCCTGCTGTGTCTCCACTGCTAAGCCCCTCCCCTCCTCCTCCTCTAAACTCCTCCCATTCTCCTCTCCTCCCAGCACCTCTCTCTCCCCTGTCCCTCCCCCAGCGCTCTCTGTTCGCATCAAGAAGGCATCCACGGCTCGTCCCACATCCCCCCCATGCTGCTGCAGGAACAACAGCGCCACAGCAGGAGTCAGCCCAGGCAGCCCCACAGCCACCATCCTCTGCACCGCACTGCACTCCTCTGCACACTGCAACCGGGAGGCATCGGCATCGGCAGTAGCAGGAGAAGAGGGGGGAGCGGAGGAAGAGGGGAATACAACGACTTCTCTGCTACGTATGGTGGATGTGGTGAGTGGAGAAATGGACATGCCTGGAGGAGTAGCAGCGGCCGTGGCCACCACCCTCTGCACCGCACTGCACTCCTCTGCTGCATGTACTGGCTCCACTGCGTCAGCTGGGCTTGATAACGATCCGGAAGCAGGATTCTTAGACGACGAGCCAAAGAAGTGCGTTATGCTGCGCTGCTTGCCGCCGAGCCTCGCCTCTTTGCTCCCTCCTCTCACTTCTTTGCCCCCTCCTCTCACCTGCACCTGCTTCCTTCCTGCCCCTGGTCGGGGACTAGAGCGCGCCCCTCTTCCTCCTCCTCCTCCTCCTCCTCCTCCTCCTCCTCCTCCTCCTCCTCCTCCTCCTCCTCCTCCTCCTCCTCCTCCTCCTCCTCCTCCTCCTCCTCCTCCTCCTCCTCCTCCTCCTCCTCCTCCTCCTCCTCCTCCTCCTCCTCCTCCTCCTCCTCCTCCTCCTCCTCCTCCTCCTCCGCCTCCGCCTCCTTTACCCCCTGGACGCTTGCCTTTCTTGGCCTGATTTCCGGCTTTCATGGTCCCACTTTGAGCCTGCAAGCGCGGGATAATGCTGCTGCCGCGGTTAGTAATAGCGCCAAGAGTCAAAGTGGCACTGCTGCCTGTAGTAGCAGGTTCTAGTCGGCGCCTCTTTGCTGCTCGTGATGCTACATCAGCTGCCACGTCAGATTGCGGAGTCACATCAGCTGCCACGTCGCTTTGCTCTATCTCCATGTCACAGCCAGCATCCTCCCTATCCGATCCCTCTCCACACCCCCCATCCTCCACACATGCTTTCCCCTCCGTCCCTGCTACAATTACCTCCTCCCTTTCACTGCATCCATCGCCACCAACCACTCGCTCCACTGCAATCCATTCCCCTTGCACCCCTCCCCCCTCCTCGTCTCCCTGCTCCTCCCAAGCTGACTCAACCATACACCCATCCAAGCCCTCCTCTCCACCTCCCTCCTCTCGACTCTCCTCCTCCACTCCCCCACCCCCGTCTTTCCTGCTTCCATCCCTTTCCACCAGCTCCTCCCCCAATCCCCCCCCACAACCCACCTTCCGTTCCTCATCACCCCCAACCCCCCCTTCCACCTCCTTTCCACTCTCTCCCCCCGCCTCCTCGCCTCCTCCCCTCTCTCTCCTCCTCCTCCCAAACCCTGCAAGGAACCTCTGTTTGCACGCGGACTCGTCAACCAGCCCCCTCAAATGATGCAGCTGCATTCGCACAGAGGGCGACGGAACAGCAGCACCAGCAGCAGGAGCAGCCGCAGAAGCAGAGGCAGAGGCGGCAGCAGTGGCACCGGCAGAGGAAGAGGAGGAGGTGGGGCCAGTAGGAGAGCCAGTGTTGACGGTGGGGATGATGCGGTGGGGGCGCAGGAACGCAACGAAGGAGCGCAGCTCCGGGAAGCTACAGTGCTCGCTGTACGGCACCAGGTGAATCTCCAGCTCCATGCTCCTCCCGCCCGTGTTCCTCCCCATGCCCCTGTACCCTTCTTCCCCCATGCCCGTGCCCGCTTCCACGCCCCTGCTGCTCATGCTCACACCCCCCTGCTGCACCTCTCTCACCCCTCCCTCTCCCATGCCCGTGCCCCCGTCTCCCACACCCCCCCCCGCCTCCTCCTCTCCCCCTATCTGCACCCTCTTGCAGCGAATGGGGTACCCCTCTCGCTTCATCTCATACATCCACCCAGTCGGCACAAACCCCACCACTCGCCCGCACCCGCGCTCCCTCCCCGCCCGCACCAAGTTGCGCCAGTTAGGCCGGAAGAACGGCCACACGTCCCCTAGCCTCCCCCACCGCACCACATGCACCGGGCTGGCTGTAGGGTCTGTGGTGAAATGGGCTAGCTCGGCTGGGGTTAAATCTAGGGAGCGGAGGGTTTCGAGCTTGGATTGGTCGACCACTATGCGGCAGTTGCAGGCGGCTGCTATGGCTAGGAGGAGCTTTTCCTTGCCGATAACGTAGGTGGATATCAGTATCAGCACGAGGTCTTGTGGCTTCCGCTGTCCCTCTGCTGCTTCGTTGCCGTTTTTCCCATGCGCAGCCGCATCCATATCTTCACGATCCGCCATACCTGCATCCATACCTCCATCCCCTGCCGTACCAGTACCTCCCTCTCCACCTGCTGCTCTCACCTCTGCTCTCAACTCTGTACACCCTCCCTGCCTGTCTCCCACTCCCTCCCTCTCACCCTCTCCTCCTCTCCTGCCATCCCCGTCTCCCTCGCAATGCCCTCTGCTTCTCTCCTCGTCACCTTCCCCCTCCACGCCATCCCCCCCCTCCGTCACTTCTTCTCCCTCCACCCCACCCCCCACCTCCTCCCCTTCCTCCTCGCCCCCCTCTAAACCCCCTCCCTGGCCCTCTCCCCCTTCCTCTCCTCCTCCTCCACCCACATCACTCGCTCTCCCCCTCGCAACCCCTTCCCCCAGCACTCTCCTAACAGTCTCTGCCACGTATTGCACCGCCTCGCTTTGGGCGGGGAACACGTGGCGCGGGTGGCAGTACGTGGTGTCCAGATACACTGCATCTGCGCCCACCATGTCCTGCATCACAGGGTCGCTCAGCATGCACGGACTCAACCGGAAGTCCCCTGTGTGCACTACCCTCCGGTACGTCACATCTCCCCTCTCCCCTGCTCGCCATTTCCCAGTTCTCCCCTCTCCTTCCCCCCTCACCCCTTTTCTCCTCTCCCCGTCATCCCTCCTCTCACCTCCCCTCTCCACGTGGCCACTCTCCCTGCTCCTGCCCCTGCCCTCTGCCGGGTCTATACCCGCCCCTCTCTCCCCCTTCTCCCCCCCTCCCGCCCGTTCCTCCGCCGTGCCTCCCCCCACTTCCCCCCCTGCGCGCGGAATGCGGAACAGCAGCATGACAGCCCCGGGGCAGTGGTGCGCATCCCGCAGCACCACGCGCGCACCATCCACCGCCACGGGCTCGCGCAAGGGGAGCGCGCGCACCCACGCGGAGGGGACGCCGAGCACCGCGGAGAGGAGGCGCGCGGTAACGGGGGAGCAGAAGATGATCCCCCCGCGCCAGGAGGGGGAAAGACCGCAGTAGTGGTCCGCGTGGAAGTGCGTCAGCCAATAGCAGCGCGACCACGGCCCCGCATGGCGGAACCCATCCACGATAAAGCGAGTCCCGATAATACGCTTGTGCGCGGGGAAATTACGCGGGAAGGGCTCGAGGGCGTCAGTCTCAGTGTGGCAATCCGCTGCGCTAATACCGAGGCTGCTTCTGGCTAGTTCAAACTCTCTGACGCTATAGTATTCAAGATTGTCTGGTTGTGCGGCGTCCATAGGTGTGGCGCCGCTAGGAGATGCTCGAGTGACTCGGAACACTAATTTCTTGTCACAGTCGGCGTGGTTATTACAAGTGATGGCTATGGCTGGCTGCCAATGCCAACCCTACAATTATACCAAATGGCGGTTGCAGCTTCTGCCTGACGTCTTCTTGTTGCTGCTGTCTCAAGATGCCGCACTTACCTATGAAGACAAATGGGCTTTCATGAACGTGTACAAACTTTGGGCTACATGATTTGTAAAAACGAGGACATTTGTGAATAATAGGCGTGAAACGAACTATCGGATAATAAGTGGTGTACAAGGGGAAGCTGAATTCTTACAGGTAACTTCTGTCGATAAATATGCCTATAGAAACCAAGTAAGTGCTTCCTAATAGCATCCATGTCGCATTTGAGTCATTGATATTGGTTTTATCGACCATAAAGCACTTCCCCATTCCTTTCATCTATTAGCACTTGTATCTATAACAGTCATGAAAGTTTTGCAATGGAAGTGCAGCCTTTTCCCGTGCTGTAGCGGTCCTTCTGTCCGCGCTTGTAGCTGGTTGCAGTAGGACGTCCACACAGTAGGACGTACTGCAGGCAGGTTGCAAGTAGGGCTTAGAAGTCCTTACTGTCAGTCATTGTCAGAAGTCGCGGTCACAAGCCTCCATACAGTACAGTACCTAGATTCCATCGTTCCCCGCCACACTGGCCAATCCGAATGAACTGGTCCGCACCGCAATAGTGTGCGCCTCATATCACCACGAGTCCACTCATCGCCTGTCAGGTCTCGACTTGAGTCTCGGGTTCTTCGGTCGGGTCGGGTTCCTTTCGACGGACAGCCACGATGACATGCGCTGTCACACTACTCCTATGGGGAGCTCCCAATGCCCGTCCCTGCGTTCCGCTCGCGCATCCAATCATCCCTCGATGCTGTCTCAGCGGCCAAGCTTTCCCCAGAGGCCCTCCAATCGCTTCTTCCCACGTGACGTCATGACTCGTGGCGCGCCGGACCTGCAGACCGCGCCCGGCGGCACCTTGCCAGGCTATATATGGGGCTTCTCCAGCTGCACATTACCCGTTGCTAGCAGGATCATCGAGCCGTTCCTTCTCCTGCCATTTCCTCAGACGTGAGACTCGCGGCCGTTGAGACCCAGAATCCCTCTCCTCCGCTTTCCGTCCCCAATCGTCATGGCTTTCCTGCGTCTCCTATTCGTTCTACTTTCCGCCTCCGCCACACTCTGTTCCTTCCCCCCCGCGCACGCGCAAGTCGCGCAGCCGCGGTGTCCGCGCCCGCCGACGGTGGCTCAAGTGAACCTCTCCGCGTACGCGGGGCGGTGGTTCGAGGTCGGCACGAGCGCGCGCTTTAAGCTGCAGCGCGAGAACGGCCTCGTGTGCAACCAGGCGCGCTACACGCTCACAGGCGCGGCGGACTCCGCGGGGGGCGCGGGGACGAACGGCAGCGGTCTTAGTCTTGGCGTGGAGAATTCGGGGCGGCTGGTGGCGTCGCCTGCCGTGTTGCAGAGCATGGCGAGCGTTGCGGGGAATAGCAGAGACGCCTGCATGTGAGGCGCAGGGAAAGGGGGGGGGGGGGAGTGGGGGAGGGGGAGAGAGGAAGAGAGGAGGAGGGGGAAAGGGATTGGGGGTAGGGGAAGTTGGGAAGGGTAGGGTGGGTCAGTGATAACCGTAGTAGGTGGGTGATCGCCGTGCAGTGGGACTTTTGTAGCACAGATTTGGGGAGTGAACTCCATGCAACCAGGCAACCCTACAACCTCCACTCGGCCATTCCGTGCGTCTTACATGGTGTTACGTTCCAATTCCTTTCCCTGCCACTAACCCCTACCTCCCGTCTCTTCACTCCCCTGTTTCACTTAATCTGGTGCCCTTCCCCTGTCACTAACCCGCTTGCGCCACTAACCCTTCCCATGCTCCTGCTGCTGCTCACAGAGCCCTGGCGAACGTGTCCTCTGCTGCCGCTTCTGCTGTGCAGCTCCTGCAGTCGCAGCCACAGGCTGCTTCGGCTATCGCTGACTGCTCGCAGGTATGCAGGTTGCTTGCTGGGATGCTATCTCTGCTGCTACTGCTGATGCTGGATGGTGTTTCGATCTGCTGTGTGAGGCTCACTATCTGACCTTGAACTGTGAGTACCACGCTGGACCTCTTGTCAGGAACAGAGTGCATCCAGCTAAAAGCTCAGTCCTCTCCCCTTCTCGTCCCGTTTTCCCTCTCCCTCCCTCCTCTCCCTCCCTCCTCTCCCTCCCTCCTCTCCCTCCCTCCTCTCCCTCCCTCCTCTCCCTCCCTCCTCTCCCTCCCTCCTCTCCCTCCCTCCTCTCCCTCCCTCCTCTCCCTCCCTCCTCTCCCTCCCTCCTCTCCCTCCCTCCTCTCCCTCCCTCCTCTCCCTCCCTCCTCTCCCTCCCTCCTCTCCCTCCCTCCTCTCCCTCCCTCCTCTCCCTCCCTCCTCTCCCTTCCTCCTCCTCTCTTTTCCTCTCTTCCGCCTCACTCCATGCACAACAGGTGAACGCCACAAACGAGTTTCTCAATATCGGGGCCACATCTCGCACCATCTCTGCATCAGTCTCCACCATCGCATCCCTCGCAGCTCGCATCTCCCAGCTCGACTTCCAGGCCTCATCCCTCAACGTCCTCGCCAACCAGCTGCTCCTGCAGGCATCCGCAGCCGCAGATAAGGCCGGCCAGATCGCATACGCTGCTTCCAGGATCCAATCGGCCAGTTCCAACTGCAGTGGGAGCAGTGCTGCTTCAGATGGGACAAACACATGGGCGGCTGTGTCGGCAGCAGCGGCTAGTATTGTAGAATCTGCTAACTCTCTCAGGGATGCTTTGAACTGGGTAGCAGCAGCAGTGGCACCATATGCTGGGTCAGACATCGTGTCCATCTCTTTAGCGTCCATAGCCAGTGTTCCTCTGCCCTTCGGCGGCATCCCAACCTCGGTGTTCGGCCAGGCTGTCCCCAGTACCAGCGACCCTGCTAAGCTCACAGTCACCTTCAATCTCTTCCCCTCGGCATCCACTGAGCCAAATTACTGGATTCTTGCCCTGGAGGGGAGTGCGGAGCAGGGCTATGAATCTGCGCTGGTTTACTCGTGCACGGAACCCCAAGGGTCGGATGATCCCATGCCACGTATTGATGTGTTTGTGATCTCCAGGGCGCCTTATATGCTGGAAGACGAGCTGCAGGAGTTGCTGGGGGTTTTGACTGGATATGGAGTGGTTCTGGGCTGTGATAACCCATTTGTGCGCACTGTGCAGGACTCTGCAAGGTGTGGCTATTGAGATGTCGGTTGGTGTGGCCTCGTGACAAGCAGTGACTGCTTTTGAGTGCTGGGAATGTCTCAAATGAGAGAGGGAGCAGTTGTGTTGTGTGTGGTGTAAGCATGCTGGAGATTATTTTGATGAAATGTACTAGTGTAGATGCAGGTGGGCTATGCCGAGTAGTGCTGTTTCTCTGTCTAGCATTTTGGCAATGGAGCTTTTGTTGAAAAAGTGTTGCATCCCAGATGAGTGTCGAGAAGAGAACTGAACAAGTGTTGAATAGAGAGAGAGAACAAGGGTATATACCTTAGAGTGTTGTACCCTCTAAGAGGTGACCCTATACAATCTATACAAATATGAGTTATACATATATTTGACACACCCCCTAGACTGCATAGGGGCAAATCCTGAACACGCAGCTCAGGGCGGCACTACTAGTCCAGCCACTGGGAGAGGACACAAGTCCAGTCTGAGTACATATATAGATATATATAGGACAGTACAAAGTCAAGGTCCTAGCAAGTGAGAGGCTACAAGAACTAGACCGAGCTGTACACAGTGCCGCTGATGATCTTTAGGCGCAAGCGCCTTCGTAAAGATATCAGCTGTGTTGGCACCAGAGGCCAAGTGAACTACGCGGGCCTGGCGGCGCTGCTGTAGCTCGCGCAGGAGGAAGTACCGCAGCTGGATGTGCTTCGCTCTGCCCTCAAGTCGAGGCTCCTGACACAGGAGTATCATGGCCCTGTTGTCAGCGTACAGGACCGGGGCAGAGCTAGGCCGCTCACCTAAGTCTGTGAGCAAGAAGGTCAGCCAGCGGAGCTCCTGTGCCGCCATGGCACCAGCGTAGATCTCAGCCTCACAGCTCGACTGAACAACAGACGACGAGCGAGTGGATCTCCAAGAGATAGCACCCGAACCAAGGCTAAAACAGTAGCCCTGCGACGACCTGAGCGTCTCAGAGTCGTCTGCCCAAGAAGCGTCTGTGTGCCCAGTGAGGACCACTGGTCTGCATCCTCCTAACACTAACCCCATGCCTGATGTACTTGCTAGATATCGCAAAACCCTCTTAGCGGCCGACCAGTGCTGTGGTCGGTGTCTACCAGTGGCCACAAAGCGAGCCAGGATGCTGAGAGGGTATGCGAGATCTGGGCGAGTGCAGGTCATCAGGTACATGAGGCAACCCACTAGCTCTGCGTAGGGGTCGCTGGGCTCTACTGGCTCCTCAGGAACAGGAGCGGAAAGCCCGTGGTCTACAGGTAGAGGTGTGGGCTGTGCAGAGGAGAACTGAAGAGGTGTGGGCCGCTGGGAGCGTGGCCACAGGTTAAGCTGGTGAGCAGCGTAGCGAACAGCGAACGGCCACAGAAATGGGGGGCATCGGCATGGATCATGGAGGTACGGGCGACCTCCATGACCAAGTCGATGCGGCGCTGAGCAACCCCATTCTACTGTGGCGAGTCCGGCAAGGTGTACGACTGGGTGATGCCCTCTGCATGACAGAACTGTCCAAGCCGACCAGAGGCGAACTCGCCGCCACGGTCGGAGTGGAGACACAACACGGGGAGACCGCGGTGGAGACGCGCAGCCACAACCCACGGGAGAAGAACGTCGGGCACGTCGGCCTTCCGCTCCAGGGGAAACACTGTGGTGTAGCGCGTGTAGTCGTCGACGAGCACAAGGAAGTAGCGCTCACTGCACGGTCCGGGGACGGGGGCAGGGCCCCAAACGTCCAGGTGCAGGGTCTGAAGGGGGGCAGTAGCCGGGCGCAGCGAGGAGGAGTGTGGGGCGCGGCGGAGCCGGCCCTCGACGCAAGGCGTGCACGGTGGCGCAGTCGAGGGAGGAAGGGCAGGGAGCGACGCAGAGAGAACTAAGACAAGACCGTGCTGGGACATGTGACGCTGACGTGGGAGAGCAGGGTGACCTAGGCGGTGGTGCCAGAGAAGGGACAGGTGAGTGAGGGACCGACACGAGCAAGCTGCAGCGACCTGGGAGGACGCACCAACTGGGGGGGAAGCGGTGTCGAGGGTAAACAGACCGGACACCGGGTCCCGGGGGAACGTCGCAAGGGGGGAACCTGAGACAGCCTCAGAACAGACAGCGAACCGCTCGTGCCCGGGGAACGTGGTGGTGACGTCGAGGTCTTGGAGACAGCCGACACCAACCAGGTTCCTCGAGAATGAGGGAACGTGGAGGCCTGTAAGGGAGCCCGAGGGAACTACTGGACAGGGAAGGACGTAGAAATGCGAGCGACGACAGGACCCGCAGAGGGGTCAGCGAGAGAGACGACAGCTGGCGTAGCAAGCGGCGTGAGCGCGGAACGGTCGCGGAAGAAGCAGGCAGAAGCACCGGAGTCGAGAGTGAAGGACAGCGCCGCAGTGGCGGGGGCAGGGAACGGAGCCGGTGCAGAGACGAGGCTAGACAAACTAGACAGTCCTACGCCTGACACAGCAAGGGAGGCTAGGCTACACAACGGTGCAACACCTAAACTAGAGAACACAGGGTAATAAGATCCAGCAACACTAGCAGCGTCAGAATACAAGGCATGCAAAGCAGCACCTATCTGATCCATGTCTAACTCAAAGATCGGCACGCCCTGGCGGAGCAGGCTGTGCCAGTCAGGGAGGTCCGGGGCCGGGCCAAAGCGACGACGAAACAGATCGTCGAGGCGGCGGAAACAGCGGGCGGCGGCACAGAGTGCCGCGAAGGGGCCCGGTCTGAAGCTGGTACTGACAAGTCACAGCACCGGAGCCGCTGGTAGACGCCAAGCTGCGCGGGCCGCCACCACTGCCACCACCTTCTGAGGTGCCGGGCCAACCAGGCGGGAGGCGAGCCCACTGCTGCGGGGGCTGCAGCTGGGACGGCGGCTGCTGCTGGGACGGCGGCTGCGGCGCAGGCTGCTCCTGCTGCGACTGGGGCTGCTGCTCCTGACCACCAATGCTAGCCTCCCCAGACGGACTACTCTCACGACCACCAACACCACTACCTGCGCCACCACCCCTACCACCCTGGCGACCACGGCCACCGCGGCGCGAGCGCTGCTGCGGGTGGACCGCAGCAGCCATCTCAGTGAAGGGGGTTGCCGTGGCGACCGCAGCCGAAACGTCAGTGAACGTGCACTGGGAGGGGGCACAGCCGTGAATGATAGAGACTGGCGGCGCACCGCTCGACTGAGTGATAGTGCGCTGGCGAGTCTCGATCTCGGTGAGGGTGTCGACAAAGGCAGTGAGAGTGAGGTCAGCCGGGTGCAGGCTAAGGAAGTGATCGCGAGCACTAGCGAGGCGGTCTGGCAGGCGCATGGCGATAAAATAGAGCGTCATGCAGAAAGGGGGGGGGAGCGCAGTGAGCTGGGCAGCAGTGCTGGCAGTGCGATAGCGGGTTTCTAGGGCACGCAGGTGAGTGGCAAAGTCTGCGACGGTAGGGAAGGCTGCAAGGTCTGAGAAAAGCATAGGGAAGAGCAGGCGACCAGCAGAAGCAGACGCGGGTGTGGAATAGCGGGCAATAACAGCATCTAAGTAAGCTTTGGCCGTCTCAATAGCAGCAAAACGCGAGCGCTCAGAGAGAGGGAGGGCGTGGCTAATGGCAACCTGAGCGACTGCATCGCGGGAGTCCCAGACCGCACGGGCAAGCGCAGCAGTAGAGAAGGTCTCACGGTCATCAGAGGAGGGATCAGTAGGGAGGGGAGCAGGTGCGGGGGGGCGGGGGAGCAAGCCGTCGACATGGACAACCAAAGAGTGGCCATCCTGGCGCTGACCTGTAAGGTGGCGGCGAAGATCGGAGAGCCAGGCGGCGAAGTCAACCGCATGGCCCTCGGCGTCCAGTCGGAGCACGAAGTCCGCCATCGTGCAGGGTCAGCGGCACAGCTCCACAGGAACACAGCGACAGCCCCCTCCAGCACGACGGCCGCGGAGCGCCTCAGCACGGGCGAGCAGAGGGGACGGAGCCCGAGGCGGCACGGCAGGACGAGCCGGGGCGAAGGGGCCAGGCAGGTGCGGTGGGGCCAGGCAGGTGCTGGCGGGGCCAGGCAGGCGCGGCGGGGCCAGGCAGGCGCGGCGGGGCCAGGCAGGCGCGGCGGGGCCAAGCAGGGGCGGCGGGGCTAGGAGGCGCGGCAGGGCCATGCAGGCGCGACAGGCCAGGCAGGGGCGGCGGGGCCAGGAGGCGCGGCAGGGCCAGGCAGGCGCGACGGGGCCAGGCAGCGCGGCGGGGCCAGGAGGGCGCGGCGGGGCCAGGCAGGGGCGGTGGGGCCAGGCAGGCGCGGCGGGGCCAGGCAGGGGCGGCGGGGCCAGGAGGCGCGGCAGGGCCAGGCAGGCGCGACGGGGCCAGGTAGCGCGGTGGGGCCAGGAAGGCGCAGCGGGTGCTAGGAGGCACGAGGGGCCCAGGAGGGGCGCGACGGGCTAGGAGGCGCGACAGGAGCCCAGGAGGGGCGCGACGGGCTAGGAAGCGCTACAGGGGCCCAGGAGGGGCGCGACGGGCTAGGAGGCACACGGGGCCCAGGAGAGGTGCGACGGGGCCTAGGAGGCACGAGGGGCCTAGGAGGGGCACGACGGGCTAGGAGGCGCGGCAGGGGCCCAGGAGGGGCGCGACGGGCTAGGGGGCACGACAGGGGCCCAGGAGGGGCGCGACAGGTTAGGAGGCGCGACAGGGGCCCAGGAGGGGCGCGACGGGCTAGGGGGCACGACAGGGGCCAAGGAGGGGCGCGACAGGTTAGGAGGCGCGACAGGGGCCCAGGAGGGGCGCGACAGGGCCTAGGAGGCCCGGCAGGGGCCCAGGAGGGGCGTGACGGGCTAGGAGGCGCGATAGGGGCCCAGGAGGGGCGCGACGGGGCCTAGGTGGGGGCGGAGCGACGGGGCCTAGGTGAAAGCGCGACGAGGCCTAGGAGGCACGGGCGGAAGCGGTATGTGGGGGGGGGGTCGAACCTACGGGTGATACCATGTCGAGAAGAAAACTGAACAAGTGTTGAATAGAGAGAGAGAGAACAAGGGTATATACCTAAGAGTGTTGTACCCTCTAAGAGGTGACCCTATATGTCAAACATGTGTAGTTATCATGTTTGTATAGACTGTATAGGGTCACCTTCTAGAGAGTACAACATTTAGGTATATGTGTGTGTACTCTCTCTCTCACATTATTCAATTCTAGGTTTGATATGGTATCAGAGCGGCGGAGGTGGCGGGGGTGCGGGTGGGGGTAGTGGTGGAGGCGGGTCGTCCGGTGCCGGTGCGGACGTGGGGAC